TCTTCAAAATTTTGTTTGACGTTCAAAGGGCCTGTACGGGTCTCATCATCATCATCATCATCATCAGCCTATAAGTGCCCACTGCTGAGCAAAGGTCTCTTCCCATACGGAGAAGGTTTGAGCATTGATCACCACGCTTGCTCAATGCGTGTTGGCGATTTCAAACTTGTAATTAAAAATTATAAGTCCAGGTTTCCTCACGATGTTTACCTTCACCGTATGTCAGTGGTGTCTAAATAATCATAGAAAGTACATATAACTCGGAAAAAGTCACATCGGTACTTGCCAGGTTTCGAACCCACACCCTCATGCATGAGAAGCGGGCTCCTTAACCTTTGGGCCACCACGACATCCTGTACGGGTCTAATTGAAATAAATGATTTTGACTTTGACTTTGACGTTGCACTCGTTGCACTACTTGTCTGATCTTATCTTAAATCTATTGAAAATAACTACTTACCCGCGTGATATCACTGAGAGCTCTACTAGTTTCAAGTCACAACGGGACTCTTATTCATGAGCAACGTGAGCGTCGCGATGACGTGAAAGACGAATCAGTTAATTCACGTAAATAAGGCGTTATTTTCGGTTGATTTAGTGTGTCTGACGATTGTTCCTATTCAAACATGGTCTCATCTTTATAAGTTGATTAAGGCTGATACAAAATTACGTTGATTCCTGACAACATTTGATTCCGTGTCTGGTTAGACAAGAAACTTTTCCACCCCCAAACTTACTGCAAAAGGAATAAAATTGAGAGGAAAAAATCGATTACCTCTAAATCCCTTATAAAATGATTCAGCTGTTCTCTATAATCTTCCTTGTTAGGTATCAGTCTTAGTGCAGTCTGTATTTCTGCAGCGGTTGCTCCCTGGGCACCTTCCAACAACATCGCCAATGTAGACTTGATGCTGGCTGGAGACAACATTACGTTTCCACTCTTGCCTTCAGCGACATACCGAAGGAGGTCGATGTCAAAATAGTTGAAACGCGAATTAGAAATGCCACTTAGACAGTCTAAACTTTGGATTGAAGCGATGATCACAACTGTAATTAAATCAAGAAATGTTGATTAGGATTCTATAAGAGAGTTTAACTGGAATATTAAAGTTTATGTTGAACACAATTCGAATCCAATGATTACTATTATTATACATACATAATTGGTATTATCGATTTAGATATTTTACACTTCATCATCTTTATGTCCTGTCTAACCTAACTATTAGCTTATCTAACTACATAACTAACAAGAAACCCTTTATTATCATACTAAAATTTTAAATGTGAAAGTTTGTGAGAATTTGTGGATGAATGTTTGTTTTTCTTTCACGCAAAAACGGCTGGACCGATTTAGTTGAAATTTGGTGAGTAGATGAGTGATAACCTGGATTGACACACATAGGTTTTTTATCAACACACCACGCGGACACATCATCAGCTTACACGTGCCCACTGCTGAACAAAGGCCTCTTTTCAACCGGAGAATATAGTTATGAGTATTAATCACGATGTTGCTCAAGGCGGATTGATAAGTCCAGGTTTTGGTCATGATGTTTTTCTTCAACTTCCGTCAGTGGTGTCTAAATAATCTTAGAAAGTCCATACATATAACTATAAAAAAGTCACATTGGTGTTTGCCAAATTTCAAACCTCATGCATATTGTTTAAAATAGCAATAATACTTGAACGTCATTACTGTTCAGTTATGAAATTATAAGTCCTATTAATACTTATTAGTTCATACTAATGAGCACGATTTACTCGGTGTTTTTTCTTAAAATGAAATATAGTTAGAGGTTAATTGTTGTCCTGGAAACCCTTTATGTACATGTATAAGTAAACAAACAAACAAACAAAACAAATAATAATTGCTCGTTTAAAGATATTATAATTATTATTTTGACCGTGTTAGGTATGTACAATGATTTTTGAATCCAAACCACATAATCAATACAATACTGTTATTGACTAATCATTGTTATTAAAACGGGTTTCATTTATAAGAATCAGTCGATCAGAAGATATTAAATACCGTTCTCCTACATTTAAAAGTAAACCAATGACCAATGAACTTCTTAAAAAATCTGACAGCAAATGTGTGTATCATTAGAACATAATTGATCAAAATCAGTTCAGCTGTTTAGGCGTTCAGTTCAGTGATACACAAACAATGCCATTATTGCAGTATGATATTCGTTACGCTATATTTATTGCGTGTTAGCAGTAACTAACTTCAAACATGTTTTATTTATTTTCAAAAACTTTAATAACTTGGTTAGATTACAAGGTTGTGAAATATACAAACTACTTACAGATTATTTCCGTAAGACATTGCATTTGACAAAAAACGTATTGTTATTATCTATTGAACTAAAACAAATCATCGAAACTCATTAATTCTTTACACCACAAAAATGTTAACAAATAAAAACACTTTTACTTACCAATTGCAATAGAGGGACGCATTTTTGATTCTTAATCACATATATTAATTTTAATACACGAACAGACAACTTAAGACTAGTCGTCTACCTGACGCACTGGCTTGGAAGTATATGGAACTGTGCAAGACACAGTTGTGACGTAGGCTGTATGGTGACTAATACATAATACCTTTTAATATTAAACACCAAACATGTTTTAGCTTCGAGGGTATTTACGTCTAAACGTGATTTTAATTGCTTTGGGTTTTTGTTGATTTCTTGTGGCAATCTCTTTTCTTTTGGCTGATTAGCATCTAATGTTTTGAATGTGACGATACCTATCTTCTTTTTTAAGTGGAGGGAAATCATCAAGTGGTATGTCCCGACTTGGGTGGGGCGAAAGGAAGATTCCTTTCCATACCCAGGACATTCCTGCTTACTTAAAACCACCCCATTTCATCTTCTGTTCCGGGCCGGGGCCGTGGGACATAATTGCGGTTGCTGACATACTCTTTCTGTAAGAAATTCTAAAAAACATAATTAATTAAGATATAGACCTATCTGGTAAACTTTTTAGAATGGTACATAGATGGATCATACATAACGCATAACGTGAAGTCAAAACATTTGCATGAGCAATTGAGCAGCATCTAATGCATACAACACTACTGGCCCTATTGCTACCTGTATACTCTATCCATCTTTAACCCAGGATATTTGAAATAGTGATAAATGAACGCCCGGCCACAGCCTTTTGTTTTTTTTTGTGACGGTAAATTCATCCAATGTCTTCTCTCGGCCCTGGGTATAGCAAGAGGAAGTGCCAGACTCTCCAGGCTGAAGCCGTGGTACCTTACTGCGCTTGATCTGCGATTCCGGCTAAGCATAGGTAATTTGGGCCCCATCTGTGGTGATCTATTGACTCTTTAACCCGTGGTATGCCGGAGCGCAGATATACGCGAGACACAATGTGTTTTCTATTGTATCATATACTCATATACCGGCAGACTAGCGGTTAAGGCGAGCGCGGAACGGTACACGCCATACGTTTGAGTCTGGTTCTGCGAGACGACGAGCTACCCTTAATCGCCGTCCACAGACCCGCGCTTACGGTGGCCAGAGATCGTCGCTCGATCCCCCGACGCCTGGAGTGAGCGGAATAGTTCCCTCACGCGCTCCGCCTCCTCCTTTGCGACGGCTCCCAGTTCCTGTCGATCCGCAATATGGCCTCGACTAAGGCCGGGCGTCTGACTTTGAGGTCGCAGGCCAGAGTTAGATATCAGTTCCTCCTCATTGATTATCACCTAGCTTCAATAACGGAAAAGACTGACAGACTATTTATATTTTGACGTTTCAAAAGTACTTGTTTAGGTTATGTTTAAATAAACGATTTTGCCTTTGATTAGGTCGTGGTTGTACGTCGTGGTTTACTTGGAGCACTCGGCTCATTGGTCCTCGGGATTGCTAACTCACTTTATGTATCTTGTCCCAAAAGGAATTTTAATTAGAATCCTGATTTGTCAATTTTTCGATATGGAAATCGAATATTTCCGAATCAATTACTTTCGTTTATAAATTCACTCTAGTAAACCAAGTTTATCAGGAAACTAAATATTTCTAATTTAGTTTTGACAATTAATTAACGATCTGATATTTTTCTTTTATAATTGTGTGTGAAATCAATAAAAAAATGTGATCTATTATGGTAATAATTTATTTTATAAATTGTAGCCGTCATCGCTATCGCTATCGCTGTTACTTTATGTAACATTTATTATGAATTGTGTCTGTGATATATATTGTCAATTAAAATATCTAGCTCACTAATTTTTTCCTCTTCTTTGACAACATAGGATACGCATTTTGATTTTGAATGCCTTCCTGTAACTGATTCACGAATAGTTTATCGATTTTTGTGTTCATCACTACACTGTTATATGTGGAATCGAATTAAAATTCTGACTATAGCTTTCGTACAAAACAAACCAGTTTTGTTTATCCCATAGTTTACTATTAACTAACTATGTCTACTATGTCTACAAGACATAGTTCTATTCATGAGCAAAGAAGAACTATGTCTTGTAGACATAATTCTTCTTTGTCTCATCTCTCTCTCTCATGTCAAGTCAAATTGTTATAAAAATTTTTTTGCAGGAAAGGACGGTATAAAAAATAAAAATCAATAGTTATTTATTACAATCATCGTATATTTTCGTGTATTTCTTATAAATTCAACAAACGCAAAAATGGCACTTAGTTTTGAATTATGCTTTCATCTCTTGTTATTATTGTGAGTGGTTATGATCAACAAAAATAATTATTTATCATTTAATATAACTTAAAATAAAATATTTGATATAAGCACTTTTCAAATGTTGCCATTGATCATTATACATATATATATTCTTAAATGTGATTTAGTGTCAATTTTTTTACAACCAGTCTAAATCTGTGTTTACATTTTGCTTTACGACCATTTTCAATAAACTATACTATATTCGAAGATCCGCTTATTAGAACTTATGTCAAAATACTGTCTCTAATAAACAAATGTACAGATACATAGGCCAGTGGAGGCAACTGTGAACTTACTGAAACCGAATTATACTTTTACATTGTTTTCTTTTGAAAAGGTAATATTCATTAATAAGTCAGCAACTACCCCCTAGCGAAAATGTATGTAGAAACCAAGGCAGTGTGAGTTTACCTTAAGCTCAAAAGTATATAAAAAACGGTCGACGTTTACAAGTTATTTAGACGATTTGTGTTGTGACTAAATCTGAAATGTCGATCGATCGTCTTGTCCTTGAGAAAACTCATGATCAGTGTACAAAGAGATCAGTTGATTTTCTCGAAATTAATTCATAAAAATATTTGTTTTATTTATTTCGTATAAACGACATCAATTTGTATCATACGTAACGAAGTTTTTCTAGAAAATGGCGCTGAATAAGTTATACATACTACGAAAATACAATATTTTAAATCGAATCTTTATCACACATAATTTATTTTATAACTTATAAAGAAGGCAGCTCATCAACTTATACTTTAAGGACTCCATCTTGCCCATGTGGTTGAGAAACACGGCCAGTGAAGAGTAACTGCCGCGTTGCCTCATCTTGGATGAAGAACAGGAATGGCTTGTCAGCTACAACTTCGGCGGTAGCTTCAATATCCTCGCCGAATTTGTTCACCAGCGATATTTCTGTTAGAAGAAGAAAATCACATATTTGAACTGGTTTAAAAAAAGCCTCATAATCAGATAGTCAGGGGATACAAGAATGTCAGGGATGACTTTTGACGTTTCAAAAGTAGGTACCTATTTCTGGTTTATCATTTTCACTTTGGTAAGCTATTGGTTTCGCATCGTACATGTATTACAAACCATACAATTTTCAAAAAGTCTAACCAATTTTAAGGAGTCTCAAGTAATAACTTGTAAACTAAACTCTGTTATGGAATTCTATCTGTCATAATCATTAACAACATGTGGAACACTACCAGGGCAAGTCCTAGAGTTGCGAAGTGGCGCCATCACGGTGAGGGCAGCCGTCAAAACAAAAGAAAGAACGCCCGTCAGAAATCTAATTTAGAAGAACTTCATTTCTTATGTCTTGTGTTACTTGAAAGTGTCTCAACATAAGAGCGCTAGTCACATAGGAACACACAAGACATGCAGATTGCAGATCACAGTTCAAAACATTTCTCAGAAAAGCTACTGCCCGCTATGAAAGAATGCTGCTGCCCGTATCCTCTGGCGAATTCCACTCTACCAAATGGCAGTTGGATATTCTATTTAGCATCGTTTACTATGCCTTACTTATGGGTATAGAATGAATGATATTTTGTGAAGTATATTGCTGATCGAGTTATAACAAAGAGTTTGTAACGCACCTGTGATGGAGTACGCAACACTGCCCAGTTCGTTAACCACAATACCAGCCCGCTGCAGCACCTTTGATACTTTCAGTCGTTGGTCAACGTCCTGGCCGCGAGCGATGCCGGGGAAGGAAGCCGTGTCCTCAAATGCAGCTCTTATTCCCAACTGTAACAAAATTGTGTGCATATCATATATGTACTCATATTTAGGCATAAACAAGCTCTTCTTTTAATACTTCTTTATTGTAATTTTACCAAACGAAATTTTGTTATCGAATGAACAATTATATATTATAAGTCCAGGTTTTCCTATGATGTTTTCCTTCACTGTATGTCAGTGGTGTCTTAATAATCCTAGAAAGCACATATACCTAACTCAGAAAAAGTCACATTAGTACTTGTCATGTTTTGAAACTTGACCACCACTATCACTACGTCAACGATGACGACGACGTTTTCGACTTAACGACAAATAATTTTGGGTTTTTTATGCAATGTGTCAGCAAACAAGCGCGGCGCCCCGCCCATACACACTTGTAACACCGAAGGACTTACAAGTACGTTGCTAGCCTTTTGTTGGTTATTAGGGCTTTAAAGATGGAAGGTTTGTGGTTTAGGGTAAGGGGTAGATTGGGTACCCGGTACCCTTACTCACCCGGCGAAGTACCCAAGTACATAATTGTTGTTTTACACCGGTATTATGTAAGGCAGTGATTTTCATTCGTGCCCATTCGTGCCGACTGCAGAAGCAAGGTAACCCTTACTGACTAAAAACCCCGTTTTTTCTCCTGCTCCGCGCCGAGGCCGCGGTGACACATTGCGTTTACCCCGCAAACCCGGCTGAACATCAGGGCCGCGACTATGGTGATCTATTGGCTCTTTGATGCGCTTTTTAGCGATAAGACCGCATTTTGTACTAATCATATTTGTCTGTTTTTCATTATTTTGTTTTACCCTGATGGTGTAGGTACAACGAAGAATTTAAAATAAAATAAACATATTAAGTTAATATACGGCACGATCAGTTCCTCGTACTAATATAAGTAAATGTTGAGGAAAAATCAAAAGGTCACGTTCTGGGATCTTTAAACTTCATACGAACTGACTAACCGCAAGCAAGGCAGTGACTTCTTTACAACATCGAACATTTTTTTAATCGCTTATTTGGACCTGCTTGTAATAAAATGACGTCTACGGTCTAAAAGAGGAAAATGGAAATAGGCAAATTTAAAGCTGAATCCAAATAACGTAAGATTTCGTGATTACTAATTCTCTCAAAATCAAAATCAATACATATAAACCAGTTCTTCCAGAAACAGTTTTATAAAACCAGTTACATATTTTGATAACGACTCTAATTTGATATTTGCTATCATTAACACAACCTGTTTTTTAATATAAATAACAATGTTATTATAATAATATAGTTGTAGCAAGAAAGCAATTTAAAGCAAGCGCCTTTTTAACTTGCATAAGTTAAATGATAATACAAGAATTTCAACGGAAAATAAGGATTTGTTTTATTCATGTTTTTAAGTCAAAAAATCGATGAAAATATCATTTTAATAATTCTAATTAACATATGACCTAAAGAAATCAAATCGCGGTCATTTGCATAAATTGGCACCGAGCGCGCACAGGTGCGTTATCGCCTGTACGGGCTTTTAAATAAGATTCAAATTCTATTGTGAACAAATAAACGTCTCGATGAAATGAAGCTGCGCGGACAAGCTCTTACTCTTATCAGATTTAAAAGTTCTACTTTTGTAAAAAGACAGATGTCAACAGCAGCCTAACAAGTCGTAAATCCATTATCCACTGCTGAGCAAAGGCCTCTTCTCACACAAAGAAGGTTTGAACATTCCACGCTTCTCAAAAAACTATTGGTATATAATTAAGTTATGGAAGAGCATAAAAGAAGGTTCCAATCAAAAACCTTTCTTAGAAAAAATTAATGGATTTGAATTTTGTATTTTAAATTCTTTTTTGTACCCTTGCTCAGAGTGCGTTGGTGATTTCAGTTCAATCTTCAATTCAAAAATAAAAATAAACACAGACATACCTCTCTCAAAATGCCATCCAACTGCGAAGTGTAGTCGAACTCAAATCTGGGTAGAGTGACGTCAACTGTGTACTCTCGAAGGTTTTCCATCTCCTGCCGAAGACCACCGATGTCGTTCAGGACTCGAGGTAGACCCATCAGTGAATTTGGCACGATGATGTACATGGCATATTTGTTACCCTGTAAGCAAGTAAGGAAGCATATGAAGTCGATTTTAAAATTGAATAAAAATACGTTTTGTTGCTTCTTTATTTTGTAGAAAGCAACAGTCTATGTACTCAGGCTTTTATGTGTTAGTACTAGGAAAAAGCAAAATAACTTGAATTTAAATTATTATAACTTATGATTAGATAGTCAGTATAAACTCTTTATTCGAATGAATAAGTACACAATAAATAAACATAAAAGAAGAAAAAAATAACAATAAAGACTTATACTTTTTCATTTTATTCTGTAAAATCGTATCGACAAATGTTCTCCTGTCTCCTAAGTGAAATTACAAACGTACATAACTCAGCAACCCCCGATGTTATTAAAATGACTGCACAGTTGTAACATTAGTAGCTTAAGTAATAACTTCTTAAGTTACAACTTAATAAAGTTGTAACTTAAGAAGAAGAAGAAGTTGTCCAACCACCGCGGTTGGTCAACCGGCTGCTGAGCAAAAACGTGTAGAGGTTTCGACTGAACGAAATTACTCTAAGTGAGATCCACAGACTGCATTGTATGTGTTGCTAACGATATGAGTGTGATGTGTTTTTGAATATGTTTGTAAACTTAACCACGACATAGGAGAAAATCCTAATGTTGGGCAATGTTAAAGAATAAACTTACTAGATAAGGCATCCTTAAGATCTTAGCATCGTATTTAGTCGACTCGGTATAGAAAAACTTGGCGTTCACGTTCATGTAATCGACGAACGTCACGAGTTGGGGAGACACGTTGAATTTCCCATAGTGAGTGGCGTTGGGAGGGAACTGATGATGCCAGCTACCCTTGAAGTAGAGGGTGTTCAGCACCAATACCACCATGTTTGCCACGTCATCTGAGAACAATATAAATATATCATTATATGTATAGATTCGCCTGATACCACGGCCTCACAGAATACAGAAGCGAAATAAAGCCTGCATTTTGTTTCTGTGAATGAGGTTATTGGATGTCCAAATTTCTTACCCCACCCAATTCCCAAATCAACAACCTTTAAAACCCACAGGAAGCTTTAGCAACTGCTTTGGTGCGGCAGGTGTCCACGGGCAGCGCAAATGGCTTACCATCAGGTAATCCGTCTACTCCTAACTCATAAAAAAGTAAGATCAAGTAGCCTGCTTGGTACACATCAGGATTAGAGTTGTTAAATGCTTTGGTTGTTAATGATGATGACCTTTGTTCATTTCGCCACAAAACTATTTTATACTAGCGGCCCACCCCCGCTCCCCACGGGTCCAACTGTCGCGCTAACAATGAAAGGGTCCCCATTTTTTCCCCACTTTTTCCCTTTACTTTTCTAATATTTTCTTTCATAAGAACCTTCTCCTGACAATAATAAATACGAAACAAAAGGATTTGGCAAAATTGGTCCAGCCGTTTTTGAGTTATGCGCTTACCAACACATTTTACGATTCATTTTTATATTATAGATGTACTTAAATACAAATTTCCTTAATCATAAACCTTACGTCAGCGATGATTTAGTGTTCAACATTAATTTTACACAGAGACAGTATAACATTAACAATGCAAGCATTGTTTATCATTGCAAATTACATCGGTGATTTAAAATAATGAATGAATGAACACTGGAACAAAGCACTAACACTAACTGTATACGTATTTCCGTACCTTTATTAACACAGATAATAAAGTAGGTATATAATTATACAGTAACAATAATTTTACACACATTGTGAATAAAGTTTATTTTTTACAATCTATGGAAGCGAACGAATATTATCTTGATGTGTGTAACTTTGAATTTATTTACACCTCCAAAATTGCTATCCAAAAGTCTAAATTCCAAAAGTACCAACGCCACTCTGAATTACCAAAAGGATGGCTGGCAGAATATGCTTTAGCATCAATATGCAATTGTAAATCCAAACTAACATTATAAATGCGAAAACAACTCTGTCTGTCGGTCTGTCTGTCTTTTCTTCACGCCTAAACTACTGAACCGATTTCTGTGAAATTTAGTACAGAAATTGTTTGCAACTCGAGGAAGGACACAGGATAGTTTTTAAACCAAAAATCTGCAGGAAGTCACTATTCCACGCGATCGGAGTCGCGGGCAAAAGCTAGTAAAGAATAAGTCAAAGAAACGACCAGACGTATCACCTAGCCGCCCCAGTTAGCCCTTATACAAAGCTCGTTGTGTGCCTTGGGTGACGAGGTATTGAGCCTCCGATAATGAGTATGGCAATTTTAATGGAAAACGTGAATTTGAATTCCAACATCCTGTGTATTGTAAGTACACAAGTACGGACAATACTAAATGTGTGAACAGGTTAATGCACTAGTGTGAATCATTATTTTTATATGGGTAATTTAATATCAACCTACTAATATGTGCCATCAGATATAAGCATAATTGGAAATTGGCAACATAGGCAATATTGATATACCTACATAGGCGAAATACATTAAAGTTTAAGAAAACAAAATCAGTAGCCATCATTAATCAAAAACATTAATCGATGCCCCAACAACGGCTAATTTTACTATGATATTTAGAAAAGAAAATGTTAATGTTTGTCTAAACTCGGAAAAATCCGGAATAAAACATGCTCTACTTTTATAACAAAGGTTTTTTTTATGTAATAGGTCGGCAAACGAGCAGACGGATTACCTGATGGTAAGCAATCATGGACACCCCGCAACGGAGGAGTTACGAGTGCGTTGCCGACCTTTTAGAGATAAGGGATTTGGAAATTTAGGGAGGGATTGGGGGAAGGGAAGGATTGGCCTCAGGTTAGGTTTTTTTTTAGGCAGACCTAGGTACTAACCTTCATTCACCAGTGATGGAATGTGTCCCTGTGTGATATTCGAGACCCAGGCATTGATCTCTTTGGAGGCGACGGCCGGGTTGTTGAAATTGACATTCTTTAGCTCAGTCTTGTAGAACTCCTGCGCAATGGCAGCGAACCTCTGTCGCGGATGCGTGTTGTCGCCGACGTAGATCCTGCTGCCTAGGTTTAGAATGTAGTATGGTGACTCTTTCTGCAACATAATAAATGGCATGTTTTGATTTTTAAGTGTGGGAGAGCCATGCTTTATCATAAATGGTTACAACGGGTCAACCGGTATGAAAAAACATTGTGTTTCGCCGTGTGAAAGAGGTTACCCGACGCTCAATCCTTAACCCAAACAAATAACTGTTCAGATTAAAGATACATTATTTGAAAAAAATAATGCAGACTCTATATTGTATTATAATTATAATTTGATCGAGCGAGTGGTACTCTCAATTTTAATATTTAGAAATGGGTTTATTGACCTCTGCAAATATGGCCGCTTACTTCTACATTACGGTAATTATACCTCTATTCTATTCTCATGGCACAGAAAAAAGATTTTAAATCGAATTACGTGACACCAAAAATAGATATAAAAATAAAATATTTTTTTAGGTTCTACACTTAAACACATTGTTAAATTGGGAATTATAAAGAAATATAATAAAGTTTTATCAGCCTTTAATTTTTAAGAACCTTATTTTTTCGCGCGCTTCCTTGAAGCATCGCCCTAAAGCTAAGAGTGTAGAGGGCGTTACTAGTCAATGCTTACATATTTGGTTAACAAATTATTAAGTTTCTATGTACTTTACATTATTACTACCTAATTTGAAAAAATAAGAGGAGATATCTCCTGCCTCTTTTTCCATCCACCGAAATAAAGCTTTAGTTCTGAACTCAACAATATTTTTTTTCATCCGTCAATCGAAACTATGTTACAAAACACTGACCTGTAAAGATTCAATTATAGTTGAGAACTTCGATCTGACTACGTTTCTATCTAGGTCGAATCCCAGGACGGACGAGAGCTCATTCTGGGTGACTCCTGTGGCCGCTTCCGTGAGAATAGCCAGGGCCAGCTTCAAGCCAAGAGGAGATATGAGGAAATTCTTATCTGATACTGCTGCTACTCGCTGGAAAGAAAGTTAAGAAACCATTAAGATTTATCATACCGATATCATACACTGGAATTTGATCCGTGTTTTCATTTAAATAAAACACAATTATCATCGAATGTCCTTATCGTACATAGCTCATTATGTAAAATGTAGAGTTAGTGTTAGATAGTTTAAGTATGGTAATTTAAAACCAATTGAAATTATCGAAAATTTTGTGTTTTGGAACATTTGTATACTAAGTACTGAGACAGAGTTGCGCTTGTAACAAACAAAGTGGTTACCGATAGGATTAACTTATTACAGTAGTAACTATGTCCCAATACTACACACGATAAAATTTTACTAAGTCGTCGTGTTCCGATAGGCCTTTTAAAGTCTACTCTGAGAATGAAAATATATACTAAAGATAAGAGTAGATTGATTACAACTTTGAAAAAAATACTGAATAAAAACTGTTGTTTCTCAAATTGGACACCTCGATTAAATTGAAATTCAATTTTTAATATTTCTTTTTTATATTAATTATTGCATATATGGAACAATCTGAAGTGTGGGAGAGCCATTGCTTCGGCACGAATGGGTCGGTTCGACCGAAGTGTACCATCGCCTCACAGAAAACCGGCGTGAAAATACTGCATTGTGTTTCGCCGTGTGAGTGAGGTTACCGGAGGCCCAATCCTTCCTCTCCCCCAATCCCTAAGTCTCCACATCCCTAACTCCCAAAAGGTTGACAACGCACTCGTTAGTCCTCTGTTGTCACGGATGTCCATGGGCGGCTCTAATTGCTACCATCTGGTAATCGGTCTCCTCGTCTATCATATAAAAAAATCAATAAAGCAAATCTTCTAAGCAAAAATTAGCTTAATTTCGTTTGTCCCACCTTAGTCAGCGTCCAATCAAATTGGTCGTAATCCGCGGGCGATGGACTGAAAACGTCATCTGGTGGTGAAGGAGTCACTGGAATAGCCTGTAGAGGTGGAATAGCCTGTTGAGGCGGAACGGCCTGTTGAGAAGGTGCAGGACCATTCCTATTGCCAAACACCTCTTGGAGTACTTGAGAATCGAGGGACATGTTCGCTGAAGCTGCTATGGCGAAGCACGCTGGAAACAAAATGAAAAACAATTTAATTTGCAATTTAAATAATACTTGGTTCCGCACACGGCTTCGCCCGCGTGGTATGAAATCCTATTCCGAAATGTATCCTATGCCTCTGCCAAATTTCATCCAGATCCGTCCAGCCGTTCTGGCGTGATTGAGCACCAAACATCGTAATTTTCGCATTTATATTATACCTATAGTATATAGTAAGATATTTAGGTATTTCATTAAAATATGGTATGGGCAAGTAACAGTGCGAAGCTTAGAAAAACATATAGGAGATACCATACAGCACTAAAATAAACGTCTTGCTTTCCAAAAAACACAAAAATGGAAAATTTTATGCGTTAAAACGCCACTGCTTTCTCCGTAGAACATCAGGAACAATATTAGTATGTTTATCCACAACAATTCCTCGCGGTTAACCACGGAAAAACATAGGTAAGAAACAAAAGAGATTTTTAGAAATTTAAAAAACAAAACAACAACATTCTAAATATAAAAGTAACAAAAAGGAAATTCAATGATGCTTATTTGATCTTTGAATTAAAAAAAAAAATATTATAATCTGTCGCCAATAGTTTTTTTTGTAAGACCAGTACCTACCTACTTTTCAAGTTACTTAAAAAGTTTTAATGTTCCTAGACCGTGTTGTTGTGTTTATGAAGTTAATTCTTATATTATAATTAAATATATACTTATGTAATTACTTATATTATAATTATAAGTAAACATAAAAAAATATTAAGACAGTGGTAGATTTTCCGAAAGAAAACCAATTATATTTCGATAATAAGTAATCTAAAATTATAATCGTCGATACCTTGTAACTTAATAACGTATCAAATGCACCGTAAATTTTCAAATAAGTGCAAACACGTGTGAAATTAACCAATTATCCATAAGAAGGTTGCCAAATACCTTCGTATTTTTAAGAAAGACGGGGTTGTGTAAGTGCAAGCTCATTAATGTACCACGGGCTCCAATCCGGAGCAGGAGAAAGAGCCGGGTCTTTTTAGTTAATAACAGTCTGACACTCGCCTTAACCAGAGCGGAAGAAGAAATTTGATGATTTTCCAAAAACAAAACAAAAACCTTATACTAGGATTGTAATACGGTTTTCATCTATGGCGTGAACGCACATCACATTAAGCCCCAGGCACGATGCAACAATTTCCGGATTACGTATGTACCTACTAAGGTATAGGTACAATTTGATACTTGCCTTAGACTACACACTTTATAACAGCAACACATGCCGTACGAAATTCGTAATAAATATAATTTTTCAAAATTCAAAAAAAGTCTTGAATTTGTTAAATACCCTATTAAAAATAGATAGTAATACCATAGTACAAATCTTGCACCAAAAATATTGTAATTTTTGGTAGGTTTAACTTTTTTGTCAGGGGGAAATCATCAAATGACTTCTCCCGCCCAGGGTGAGGTGAGAGAGAGTATCAGATTCTTACTGACTTTAAACCCACCCGTGCCTTCATCTCCTTTAGGACAAGGCCGCCGTGCCACATTGCGTCTATGGATTTATAAATCTGACATTTTAGAATATAGCAAAGTCAATAACAAAATTGTATGTAGGTAGTTACTAATAATTGTGTAGGTAATTTATGTCTATAATTGAAGATATTTTCCTTATTTGATTGGATGCTAGTAATGTTAGGGACTTCACTGAGTACGTTACAACTGACCTATATGAAGATTCGTACTTGTGGTCACAGTTAAAGAGTATGTATAGACAATAGACAATAAGTAATACATTTGTTACTTCCTTAAAGCGTGTTTTTTTTTGAGAAACGAATATCATCTTTACAAAAAAGGATGTATTTTAATAATTCCAATAATTTACTATTAGGTATTTTTGTATGCTCTCGCCCTCGGCTTGGCCGAGCTTGTAAAGTCTTACTCAATAGGTAAATCTAGCTAAAGACAATTCAAAACAAAAACAAATATGTTTAGTGCGTATCAATAGTTCCGGAGATGAGCACGTTCATAAATCACTTCAGCATCGTAAAAGTTAAACAAGAATAACTGTCACAAATCATCAATGATTCACAACCATTTTCAGCATGGAATGTCCCACGATAGACATTAGGCATGCCTATTATAATGGTCAGTAGAGTCTAAAACGCATAACCATACCTATATTTCATTCTAATAAACCTGCATGAAAGCTATTAGGAGATAAGTGTGGGAGAGTCATGCTTCGGCACGAATGGGTCGGCTCGACCGGAGTGATACCACGGCCTCACAGAAGACCGGCATGAAACAACCACAGCGTTGTTTTTCGCCGTGTGAGTGAGGTTACCGGAGGCCCAATTCTTCCCCGCCCCCAATCCCTCCTCAATCCCTAAATCTCCAAATCTCTAATCCCTAAAAGGTCGGCAACGCACTCGTAAATCCTCCGTTGCGGGTGTCAATGGGCGGCGCTGATTGCTTACCATCAGGTAATCCGTACAATGACCAATTACATAAAAAAAAAATAGTAATTTGTTGATAAATTTTACTGTTTTTTTCGTACCTACGTGTTTTGTTTTCCTCATAATCTAGTTCAAATATTTACTGTTTCTTAATAACCTATAAAAATATAGAGTGAAAGATATTTAAATACTTATAATGCACAACTAATGTGTCAAGTTATCTACAGGTCAACTGGATAGCGTGCGGGTGATATACAACATAATAAGTAGGTAGTTTTGTTTATAGTTTTACAACGCTCAACGCAGCGTAATCTTTGCATTTCTTTTAATAATATAGTCGGTACGTAGAATAGTAGATATTCTTCTTTTCTGGGACAAACCTTCTCCTAGCTTTCTAACTACAACCTTCTTTTGTTATAGAATAGGGCAGCAAACTCATAATGGAAGGCAATCAGTGTCACCCAGGGTTACTCGCAACCCTGAGGAGTTAACAAGTGCAAAGGCATTTTAACTTAAACAAGTGTTAAAGACAATTTGGAGATTGGGGGAGGAGTGGGCCTTCCATAACATCACTCATGCGGCAAAAGAATCCGCGACTATTATTTTATTATTAGGACTTTAGCGCGTATACCTATTCACAACAATATCAAACTGATACAGACTAGGGTAGGTTGTTCCGTAAATATGAACAACTGTTTTGGATCTCGCAGCGAAATAAATCAGCAGATATTATTAGTAGAAAAGAACAGTTCTTTTTAGGTAAGAGTTCTGTTAAGAGTATGGCTACTAAAAGTGTAGTACCTTAGTCAGCACTTTACCTATAATATCACACCTTAGCGAGGATTGAGGATGGTGACTGACCAATAAGTTCGATAAATGTCCTTCTACTCGACAGAATATTAATATTTGTTTTACACATAAAGTTATTTTATGTATACAAGATAAACACTAGAAACAAACTGGTTTCCATTGTCTAACCTAATCGATTCGCTATTACTGTGCAATTAAAATGTGATTACAAACACGTCGTACATACATTGAAAATATTATTATACTTAGAACTAAAATAGTCTAAAATTCCTTCACATTAATGTTTAAGGAAATAGTATACATATTGTACCTACACATGTATCTCATATCTTTGAAAGAGCAATTCTTGTATATAAATATAGATGTATATATGTAAACCTAATCTGGATCCCAGAAACTGCTGCAACGATTTTCATGAAGTTGTAATATACTTATAGGAAATGTCGGGGGCAATGAATCTATCTAAATAGGATTCATTTTCAAATATTGTAAAAAAAATACCGAACTTAACAACAGGCTGTCCAAATTGTTTATTGCCATTTGTACATATGTCGTAAAACTGCTGTACATTTTCTTCCTCTTCGTAAGAGAATTTGCACGCTTGACAGGCGGTTTACATACCGCCATTTTCGCAATTTGAAAGGTTCTGGTTAATCCAGGTGCAATTTAAATTGCAGTCCTTGCAGATTTATCCATCCCGTTGTCACACTGCTCAAGAAGATGAAACAGAGATAGATAAGAAGATGATAGATATATCATTCAGTTCAGTGCCGGTACATGTATTTCGCTACTTACATTACGAATCGAACGTAGTTCCACAGATCGAACAATATTTTACAATCATCAGTTCAATAGTGCATTGCTGGACTGCAGGCTTTGTGAATGTAGGAAGGAACATGTCCTAATGTGTGCAAATTACAATTCAAACCAATTACTTAAATATTTGAATTTAGTATTTTTTTTTAATAATATTCCACTGCTCTTGGCTAAGAGAACTCTTTTAGTTGATCGGATATTAACGTTTTTTTGACTAGGGCCATCAAATGTTAATCATATTCGGGGGAATTTTATTGTATTTCTCACCAAACGAAGGCCAAACCTATGTCATGTTTACTATAATATGCTAAATTAATCATGAATTATTGATTTTCTGTCCAAGTATAATATTATAAAGGATGACAATGAATATTGTAATAAAGCACGCAGATCAAGAAAAAAATAACTGGTTCCGAAATCCCAAACCAGTTTTGTGATGTATTTGCAAAATGACGCAGAACTTTAGGTTTTCACCAATAGATCAGGATATTACGTGCAAAGAATATTGATACTCGCCGACTGACTTCTTCGTCATTAATGTAAATGCTATCACGGACCAAAACAAGCCCTTTCATTTAAGTGCCTATGTTCCATATTTTACTCATATAAAGTAGTTCAATGCCCACGATTATTATAAATGATTTTAATAATCAAAAGGCTTGTGATAAATACTTTTGGACATTGGCCCTCCTTCTGGGAAGCAGTCATGCTCGCAAAGACAGAGCTCGTGACGGAACTTCTCTATACCTAAGTGGGCACAGGAGACGCCCCAGGCGTCAGAAATTGCGCGACGATATCTGGCCATATCGTAGCGCGCGGGTCAGGCTCCAGACGCCCCTCTGCTGTCTGTCTGAGCTGTCAGACCAAAGGAGATGGAGCAAACTAGGGCCGATGGCAGGTGCTAGCTCAATAACTTATTTATTAGTAGATACTATTCAGTATTTTAAAGTACCTTTGATATCTGTAACAACATAGGTACCTCTACTAAGTGTGATATTTACGTCGTCTCATCACCTACTAGCTAAATATAGCCAAAATATGTTTTCGGGGAAGAACTAAAGATTAAAATAGGTGCGAAAATGACGTTATATCTATCTATCAATTTTGATGAAAAACACCTATCATCTTATCTATCTCTCTCTCTCACTCTCTCTCTCTCGCTCTCTCATCCCCCCCCCCCCCCACTCTCTCTCTCTCCCCCCTCTCTCTCTTTCTATCTTTCTTTTTGTCTTTAATTTGCATTCGAGTTTTTTTACAAATTTGGGTAAATAAATTGAAATGAGACTTGTGGGTCAATGAACAGTGGCAAATTGCTTCTAAACTTGCAGATAAACATAACCTCAAGTCACGGTAAATACACCAATCATACCGCAGTAGGTCAAGTAGATATCCTAAATCAAAAAGTTCTTTGGATTTGTCTATAATACCTAAGGCCTAAGTTCGATCTCACTTCAATGAGCTTAACAATCAAAAGATAAGATCAAGTCACGTTTCACCTTAGCCGTAAACATATACTGGAAACGTGTGATCTAAGGAATAAAAAGCGTAAAAACCCAGTAAAAGAATTTATTTTAGGAGTCGCGTCAGAAACCTACCTTACATACAGTTAAGGGCAGTTTACATTTTTAAACTTTATAAAACATTATTCCAAATTATTTTTTGGTTTGGTGTAGGAACACCGGCACAATCCAAATTGATTATTGAACTCACGCTCAAATTACATGGAAATAATGTTTTACTAGTTCCATTACATTTTCAATGTCACAAAAACTTGTATTTTGTAGGTAAACGAAGTTTTATACATCGTGGCTCCACATAATACCAACATCGACACGGACTTACAAAAAACAAAGTATGAATAAGAAACATGTATACACATAATACAAACAATAATGATGACCTTATATCATTTTAAAGGGTAAACAACATAACCAAAGTAGCTTATGAACTTATTATTCCACGTAAGATTGACAGAATAGTAAATAATATAGATGTAAATACAATAAAATCAAACTCACCAGCGAATAAAACAAAAAATCTCGGAGTCATCGTGATCACAGTTTAAGGAAAACCACAAAATACTAAGTTCAAGGCGATAATTATACGGACTATACGTTCAGACTTTACGACTATTATAACTATAACTAAGTTTGTAAACTCGTGTTTATTTTACGTACATTATTAGACGCGAGTTCACTAGACCAAGCGCAAACCGCGACTAAATACCGTCAATACTCGGCACTGCTTGACGAGTAGCGTTTGATTATATTCTGACATCAGTGCAACCGGTTTATCAACGTACGAAAAAAGGTCCGGCGACTCTCGTAATGATGGCTGATGTTTGTTTTAATCTGTCTTGTATCATTGAACGTGTCAGGATATACTTATGTTTAAGCTGACATCCTTTCCAGGACTTTCCAAAGGAGATTGTCACACGTCTGTATAGGCTTTATGGACTCACTTTCGACATAAAGCTGCAATTACGGATTTGTTTTTTAGGAATATTGGCATTCAAAATTTACTAGGGTGCCTCCCAATCAATCTCAACTTTGACTTAATTTTATTCTTTTATCGTATACTGCTTTAAAACATGAACTGAAAATCATGTTCCTTCGTTATTAAACAAATACCAATTTTTGTTCTAAAGGTTCTTTACCACATCACATCCTTGTGACTCATACAGTTTTTTCACTAATAACGTCTCTAGCAATGTTAAAGTTAGTAGTGAGATGACAACACGATTTTCAATTTTAAGATGAGGTCATTAGACCTTAAGTTTGCTTAACTAATATGCATGGTGGTTGATATGGTTTCTTTGCCACTCACATAAACTTAAAAACGTCAAACTTAGATTTATCAGTAAAATTTTAAGTCCCGACCGGATAAAAATGATGACATTTTATAACAGTGGATTTTAAAAAGTTTTTTTTAGTCTACATAAATATATTGATCTAGACAGTAAAATGTCATAACCTCAGATCGACCTAGGAGTACTTTTCATAATGTTTAGGGTACTTAACTAGTTTAATTTTATAGTTTATCTAGGTTTACCTACATTGGTCGTTCACCAATTCTCTTCTAGGCTTTCATGTCCAAAGCCATGACTAAGAACTTTTTTTTTCAATTCAATGTATTATATACCTTAATGGGTGCCGGGGTTGCGGGGTAAGCGCAATGAGGCACCGCGACCTCCGCCCAGAGCAGGGGAAGGAACAGGGGGGTTTTTAGTCAGTAAGTGTCTGACACTCTCTCTCGCCTTACCCTGGGTGGGAGAAGTCATTGGATGATTTTCCCCTTACAAAAAAAAAGGTACCTAAATGGCAGTTGTGGGTATTGTTTAATACCCACTACGGCCATAAAATAACATTGATACCTAAATTTGGATTTTTCTAAAGTAGGTGTTTGCAAATCTTTGTCTACCTAAGTATAAAAACATACTTACAAAAGTATAATTTATAAACTGATAAGTAAAACCCTAGGTTTATATTATAGAACGGTCTCCTTAGTGTTGGGGAAACCCAAACATACCTAATCATAATTCAATGACATCGGTCGGAACTTGACAGCTTAATTAGCTAGCTACCTTCATTTTAAAATGCAGAAAAATCGCAAAATACACAAGTTTATAGAAAGACAAGCAAATTGGAAGGAAGTAGGTAACAAAGAATATTTGATTTCTGAACTCAGTACAAGCACGGAGTTAGAAGCTAACAGTGTTCGGCAATAGGGATACCCCCTAATACCCAATAACCTATTACGTAACCACGGAATAAAGCAGCAAAAAAATTGGAGTGGGGATCGTTGTGATTTATGCAAAGTCTATAACCTCTTAGAAAATGTGGTTTCCCAAGCTAATGAACTAAAAACTGTGGTCAAAATGAAGACTTCCTTTTTTCCGTGTTTATAAATTACTTTTTATTTATATGTACAATGTTTTCCTTATAAATAGACGATGTGTTACACACGCATATTCAGATCGTTCGTATTGGAACGTCATGAGTTGTAGTTTGATTTTTAGAAGAAACGAAGCTAGTTCTGAATATTGAGTTCAGGTGAGGTACTGTGTATTCCAAATTAGAATTAGGTTGGAAAACATTCCTTCTAAACTTTTTCTTAGTAGCTTAAGGCCTTGTATATTAATCTTTGCCAAATTTTCTGCTACAGGTATGTTTTTTTATAGGATAGGTCGACAAACGAGCAAAAGGAATACCTGTTTTTATAATAACTATCGTGAGACATACTAAATTAACTAAAAATCGCGGGTTGCGCGACGTCGCCGCGTCCGCGCACGCTGCTCATGAGGAAGAACCCCTCTGTGGTTCGAAACTAGTAGAGCTTTTCTCAATATATACACGTGAGTAACCCGCGATTTTTAGTTAAAAGGAATACCTGATAAGCAATCGGCGACGCCCATGGATACCCGCAATACAAAGGAGTTAGGAGTGCGCTGCCGATCTTTTGAGGATTAAAGATTGGAGGTAATCCGTGTGTTCGTTTGCCGTCCTACCACTTGCCGTTTGTATGAATTAACTTGGAGAAATATCTACTTATAAATTTATCGTAGATACCTTCATAACAACTTCAACAAACTAGTAAATTAGTTCCTAAGAAATGTATTACTCGTAGAACAGATAATGTTCAATAGACAAAACGTGATCATACATACAACTTACACTGTATCCCTAAGATTTTTCTTAGAAGATCAACTACAGCTACATAATTACTTAGAATTGGTATTAAGCACGTCTTAGTGTGAAGTATTGATTGTACATACAATCTAGAAAAGTACTGAACCGATTGTAATCAATGATCATGCTCTAAAAAGACAACTAGTTCTACTAAAAACTTTTTCGAAACAGTTTTGAGAGGCAGGAAGTAGTATTTTCTGTATGAAAATGTATTTAATTAAGTTTTAAATCTTTAGGTATATATTGCGTAGGTATCTATAATAATCACGTTTAATGAAAATCGGATGAGTATAGTTTCCATACTTTTCGACTTGAAAGTTTGGAGACAATTCGTGCTGCCTAAAAGGTCTTAACATGCTAACCTAGTTTTAGTAGGATATTGTACTGAAAACCGTTATCACTGGAATTTTAAAAATTACTTTTCGATACTCGATACGCTATTAACAGCAAGTACCTACAGTAAAAATAATGCATCTGCGGAACGAAACCCGACACCTTAAAACTGGTTTTTTAAAAAACTTTTAGTGTTAAACTGTAGTGTCCTCAATAATTGTTGTTTACCTATGTTTTGTCGGAACTAACACCGAATCTGTTTAAATTTTTATTTATGCCTGTCATCACAAACTAATCTGTGGCCAAAGCAATCCCGCTTTGTATTTTCTGAAGCAAATTCTTTTACTACTTAAGATACAGATTTGGATACAGACAGATTTGTGTAGGTACCGTGTAGGTCTCCAACAGAGACAGAGAACTGGGTCAATAAATACTAATGATAGATTTTATTGTTATAAGGCAGAGCTACAGGCCTACCCGTGCTATCAGCAAGCTGAAATGGTTATGGGCTGTCCACATCGCTAGACATTTCGATACTGTTCCCGGAAAATGCATATAACTACGGAGCAAAAGACGTACGCGTTTAGTAGACGGACATCGTCAAACATAGGGAGCCATATCCCTTTTTTTATGTGATAAGTCGGCAATTGAGCGACGGATTACCTGATGGTAAGCAATCAACGCCGCTCATGGACACCCGCAATAACAGAGGAGTTACGTGTGCGTTGCTGACCTTTTGGGGATTAGGGATTTGGAGATTAAGAGATTGGGAGGGGAGAAGGATTGGGCCTCCGGTAACCTCACTCATACGGCGAAACACAACGATGTGATTGTTTCACGCTGCCGGTTTTCTGTGAGGCCGTGGTAGCACTCCGGTCGAGCCGACCCATTCGCGCCGAAGCATGGCTCTCTCACACTTAAAAATATCTAGATGTCTATTGCTGAATGAACGCACTTTCATGTCAAAGGTAAATTTTTGTTACACACAATTAATTTTTGAAATACTAGGTACTGTACCATAAAATAACATTTAAAATAATAATGAACCCTGAAAACAATAAAGAGGCCCTTTATCCATCCGCCTAACGCCAGCCTGTCAATGTGGTTGTCGAAGTTTTTGGGGACTAGGTATTTCATTTGCCGACACCGCTATAGGCACAATGAGCATTTCGTAAGTGCCTTCATTCAGTAATGGACATCTTCCGGCTGATATTTACGATGCTGATGACGATAATGATGCTGATAACGACAGACTTATAATCTGTACCTAAGGGCAAATGCAATCCTTAGTGCACTGAACATCAAAAGGACTGAAACGACCAACGCCAGGAATACTAGACTAGAGATAAATAATATTATAGATATTATAATAATAAAGAATAAGAAGAAAGAAGAAGATAATATTATAGATAGATACAAGTTACCAACGAAATTACGACTCTAGAGAAAGTCTTGTGAGCGTCCTTATAAAATAGGTAGATATGTTTAAAAAATATAAACATTGATGTCACTGAATTCATAATACAGTCCTTAGAGTACCGACTCGACATCAACGTTTTCCTGCTTTAAAAAAACATGACACGATTGGAATTCTCGTTACAATCGTAAAAACCCAAACATTGGTGATGTATCTACCTTTTGCCGCGAATTGAAGTAGTGACGGCCGAGTGGAATCCTCATCATCAATATCATCATCATCATCAGCCTATAAGTGCCCACTGCTGAGCAAAGGCCTCTCCTCACACGGACAGCCAACTGGAATGCATTTAAGTATCGATAACCCCCGATTCTCCCGATACAGTTATAATAAGGACCGACTGTCCCTCAGTTGAAGTCAGTTGACACTAGGTACACATTTCACAAAGATCATCTGGTCCTCACACCCTCGGCATTGCGGATGTCCAAGAGCGTCGCTGATCGCTCACCATCAGATGTTTTTTTTTCAATGTAATTGGTCGGCAAACGAGCAGACGGATTACCTGATAGTAAGTAGTCAGCGCCGCCCATGGACACCCGCAACGGAGGAGTTAAGAGTGCGTTGCCGACCTTTTAGGGATTAGGGATTTGTAGATTTAGGGATTGGGGGTGGGGAAGGATTGGGCCTCCGGTAACCTCACTAACACGGCGATACACAACGCTGTGGTTGTTTCATGCCGGTTTTCTGTGAGGCCGTGGTATCACTCCGGTCGAGCCGACCCATTCGTGCCGAAGCATGACTCTCCTACACTAGCATGGCTCTCCCACACTAAGCATCTGTCCCACACTAAGTGTCCGTCTGCTCGTTATAGCCTCTTATAACATTAAATAGGGCGACCCCCTTATAAGGACTATTTTCTTTTACACCCAAAAAAGTTGTTTCTTATAATCTAAACCTATGAACCTAAAATATGAACTATTATAGGTATTCGTGCGTTGCAATAACTTTTGGAATTACCTTAGTCATGCATTGTTATTCAATTTCGTAGTTCAGTAAATGGATTTTCTGTAAATTAATTCTAAAGGATTTCGCACAATTATTATTTTCCGATGACCGTTACAAATTAATTCGCAACGTTTAATTATATAAATAAATACTTTTTAATACGGAGAAATAAGTAGGTACCATACATGACAATATACCTAAATAAGTTTTTAACAAACTGCTACCCCTTTTTGCCCAGGGTGAAGCGAGAGGGACCACGGTACTTTATCTAGGTACTGCGCTTTCCCCGCAACCTTTTGCCTATCTTTGCTATCCTCTACACTTAACTATTATACTGATCTGAACTGCATAATTTAGTTAATGATCTTTGAAATATTTTAAATATATTTTTCGTTAGAAATTCTACTACTGGCCTTAGGATCTGTAGACAAATTGGGTAGTTTCCTAGGTCGAAAATAAATTTATTCGACGTTTCAATACAATAAAATATTAAAAAAGAACTATTATTCATCGATCGATCGATACACTGAGTTTTAGATATTTATTAGCAAGTTTTTAAGAAATAAGCTCAGAATACAGAGTTTGTTCTGTATTCTGAGGAAATAAGTAAGTTATTTGACGCAAAAATACTATGACGTCATAACTCAGTGTTTCATACAAATTTCATAGAAAAGTATCGTTTTTGACATTTGGATAAAAGTATTGAATTTGACTAGTTGGAAACTACCGTATTCAATATTTAATACTTTTATACATTCAAGTGTCAAAAACGTTTGGTACTTTACTATGAAATCAGGAAATGGAGCGACGGTCCAGGACGACAATTTCAGGGAGATGCCAAGGTCTGGTGGGCGGCAGTTGGAGTCTCCTCCCTCCCCTAACCCCTGCAAATCGATATGACGATATCGTCCCAGTTGCCTTCTTCATTTTAGCCTCTTGTTTTATGTTTTTTTACATTATTAGTTTTATCATGTTGTCCTATATCTTTTCTATTTTTTAAAACTTTCTTCGTCCTCTTCTTCATTTCTGGATAACAATAAGAAAAGACGAAATACTCAATGTAAGTTTATTTGGGATCAGCAAAACTAACGCTTGGTATTGCTTTCCAGAACTGGGCGCCACAGCAGCTCCAGCGCCATAATGTCTTCGCCCAGGGCGTCAGCAATAAGCCGGCACTATAGACATACATATAGATAGGTATGGTGATGATGAAAATGATTGAAACACAGTAAAAAGATTATAAACACTTTATTTAGCCCATGATCTCGTCAGTCGGCAAAATAACAAAAAGAAACATAAAATAAATTTCAAATTTTAAACAAACGAATGTCAACAGTAATAATAGTAAATAAAGACAACAAAAAGGTACATTATATGGCCAATTGTTAAAGCACTGTCGAGATTCGTTACCTATATACACAAATACATACATAGTATTTCTAAAAATTCATTTAGCACCACGAATCCAGATACTAAACAAATAATAAATATTAATAAACATAAGGATTTAGCTTCTAAAAATACTACATTCCCCGTAATGAGTTTTTATTACTTACAAAAATACTTGGTATTTCTAATTTCAAATCATACAACTTAATACAGAAGTAAATGAAATAAGTTTGGAATACACGGAAAAATAGCCTTGTCTATTGTCATGATAAAATGTTCAATGAGTTAATTAGTTATTTTAATTCTTTAGAAAGATGCCACATACTTTTATTTTCTTATTAAATTATATTTTGTGACGAAACACACTGTTCCAAATTAATTTTCTGACTTCTGAGTGTTACTATATTCAGGTATTTCTAACTTGTTATTTGTCATCGAATCACATGTTAACTTCATAAGACTGTAAACTTAATGTTTAAAACGGATTTTAATTCAAAATTAAGCTCTATGACATCCGGAATAAGGTTGGAAACGATTTATAGCGAAATATATAGTTCTTATTAATTTTTAATAGAATTTTCTTGAAGGTAATGCTATTTTCTCTCAATACAAACTACCTAAACACAGCATTTCATAACTTAAAGCTCTACCAATTGCTTTTACATCGTTCAACTGAATCTCAAATTAAATTTGACTTACTTAATTTCAAATGGAATACTTATTAATGGAATATTTTATTTACAAATATATTTTGTTTGTAAATACTCAAGTCTTTAGACTTGTGCTTATTCAAAAGAACCAATAAACCTATCTCAACTATTTGATGACTTCATTCAGTCAATTTGTAAAGAGGATTTTAGTTTTTGTGCTCGCTAGATGGCGTTATGGTAGTATTAGGCAATCTGCTCAATGACTATGGCGGTCAAAATTGAATATCCAAAGATTTTTCACTAGATAATTTTTGTACGTAATAGTCCTTATTAGTGAGAGACAGAACATACTATAGTCACAGTAGGTTTATAGGTAATTTAGAAATATGTTGTATAATAAATAGACTAAGATTTTGAGGTGGGAACGTAATCTTCTGGTGTACTTGTAAACAAAACGGTGAGGACCCACAAATGCAGACAGATCTGTAGACAATAAAAAAAATTATGTTAAATAATGTGTTTATGAAAATTACCTACCTGAATTCGGTAGACGAGGATAATTTCCGGCACCATGAGTTGAATGCCGGACTTACGCTACTACACATACTATAGGCTTCGGTGTGACTCGAAATTAGAATCTTCGAATCATAAACTTAAGTACTTACCCACTGATATAGTAGTAGAACATACTGTTTCGAATTTGTGGCGGCCTCTTGTAAGGAATGCAAAGTTTTTCTAACGCAATTCCCTGTTTATACATTGAAATTAATTTGTATAAGCCAAAATGTAATATTTTATTTGAACATTTTTTTTCTCTTTGTGGACGGTAAACGGGTCTGCTCGGTTGCCGTCCTATCGGATCCTCGGCTTTCCTGATGGTAAGCAATCCGGTCCTCGGATTACCTGCTGGTAAGCAATCAGCGCATGACAAGGAAGAGTTACGAGTGCGTTGCCGACCTGTTGCCGGATTAGGGTTTTGGGGATTTGCGATCGGGAAGGGATTGGGGGGGAAGGATTGGGCCTCCAGTAACCTCAATCACACTTCAAAACAACGCTGTGGTTATTTTACGTCGGTTTTCTGTGAGGCCGTGGTATCACTCCGATCGATCCGAAATATTCGTGACGAACAATGGCTCTCCTATGCTTGTTTTAAATAAATAAGTTTTGCATATTATACACTTACCATATACCCGATAACGAACGCCCTAAGCACAGGGTATCGTTTCACCATGATTCCGATCCGTACTGAGAGCGAGGACAGTGTTGAGGGCGCGGGTCTTGACCGCCGTCCGTCTCCATCTTGTAAGTGCACTACGCTGTGTGAGGAGTTCAACTGGTGTGACGACTGTACCATTTTCAATTTCGACTGTGAAAGATTAAAAAATACTTTATAAAGGTTCATCATTATTGTCATTATCATCAGTCTCCAAGTGGCCTGAGCAAAGGCACACGGAGAAGAATAATCACCACGCTTGCTTAAGGAGAATTGGCGATTTCAAACTTATTAATAAAATTTATAAGTCCAGCTGGTCTTCTCACAATGTTTCCTTCATCATATCTGTGGTGTCTAAAACGAACTTAAAAAGAACATATGACTCAGAAACGGTCACATTGGTACTTGCCAGGTATCGAAACCTCCTCATGCATACCAGAACCTTAACCTTCGGGCCACCGGGTGTCCATGGGCGACGCCAATTGCTTAACATCAGATAATCCTCAGGTACCACTTAAAAATAGACTTTTGGGTATTGTTGCGAGCTAGCAAAGTTGGCAAGTACCTAATGTACACGAGTATCACAAAGCATCTCGCTCTCCCAATAGTCAATCAGCAGCGATTCTGGACGAATTTTGCAGGTGAACGCCATGTCCACTAAACTTGGCGACCTTCGGATAGCTTAAAGTCGTCAGGCCCACGCCGCTTTCAACGTAGTTATTTCGTCTTAATTCATCAAATGTCGTATGTCGACGTTATTGTTCTTCGATTGTGTGTCGAATTCAAACAGTTTTATGACTTACAAAACAATAACATACTCACTTCTAATTTTTCCAGCTGTATCCTGAGAATATTATTTTCCGCCAATAAACTATCGATTTTCGTTTGTCTCTGGACAAGTGTTTGAGTGAGGTATTCTATCTTGTTGTTGTCTATGGTGTCCTGCATGACGTCATAGTCTGCAACGTTGAGCGCACTCGTGTCCGTGCTACGGACCGTGGACATTGTGTCGCGGAGGTGGATCAATTCATGCTCTTTATCCCGTAAGGCAGTTCTTAAACTGGTGATTGTCTGTCCTGTCTCCAATTGCATGGCTTTCATTTCCTAAAACAAGATAAATGTACATGAAATTGAGATCGTAAATGAGAAAGGCATTAAGATTTATTTTGTTATTTCTATTCAATAAACCATTAAAATATAATCATAATTTCATTCATTGAGTTAACGATATACTTAATATAGACTTATCCTAATTAATTTTTCAGAAATAAGTATACTATTTGCGATTTCATACAACATTTGAAAGAAAGTGGAAGCGGGTAGGTGGTTCTACTGACAAATTGAATATGAATTGCTATACTATCTAATTGGCACCATCATTCGTGTCTTGTCCAATCCCTTCCATTATTCCCAATTCTCAAATTTTGCGTCAACGCACGTGTAACCACTCCGTTGTCCATGAGCGGCGCTAATAGCTTACCATCAGGTGATCTGTTTATTTCCCATTCTATACCATTAAAAATATTGGACATCTTTACTTTTTCTCCTACCTACATACGTATCCATATTTAGAAATTTTTAACAAGCACCTATCTTCAATAAATTCACACAACGGTGTTAAGGTGTTAGTTGTGTTTTTTATTACCTTAGCTACAACAACACACTGTGTCTCAGCCCTGGTCCTAGCGGACCGTTCCTCCCTCAGCGCCTCTCTAAGAGCACAGACCACGCGCTCAGCGGCCGCGTGCCTCAATTCCACCTGTTGTAAGTACTGCTTCATATCCGTACACTCGGAACGAATGCCTGACACAGCATCTTGGAGCTCGTCGCGTTCTTTTCTGTAGAGATATACAAAAATTAGAGGTTAAATTACAACGTCGCTCTTATATTGTGTAGCTTACAAGCAAAGGCTCCGAGTTAGAGCTCGAAATGAATCGGATATACTCGTAAAATAATTATATGAATAGTAATGTCTGCTGAGAATCGTAATTTCAGAGATAGTGTAAACATAAAAAGTTGACGTAATAGAAAGAAAGAGAGAAAATATAGAACGAATGGGTCGGCTCGACCGGAGTGATACCACGGCCTCACAGAAAACCGGCGTGAAACTACCACAGCATTGTGTTTCGCCATGTGAGTGAAGTTACCGGAGGCCCAATCCTTCCCCTTCCTCAATCCCTAAATATCCAAATCCTTAATCCCTAAAAGGTCGGCAACGCACTCGTAACTCCTCTGTTCGTGTCCATGGGCGGCCCTGATTGCTTACCATCATGAAATCCGTATGCTCGTTTGCCGACCTATCACAAAAAAAAAACATCTTTTTTGAATTAAAATCCACTCACTTCAATTGCTCCATCTGTGCCATTAACGACTTAGTATCCTCATTAAAATTCAAGCCTTCATGTAATTTCTTTATCTCGGCATCTTTAGCTTGCAGCATGTTCTTCACTCTCACTTTATAAGACTCCCAGTCTCTCTCCAATCTCCTACATTCTTCAGTAGTCTTGTGCAAGTTACCCTGTAATTCGCTTATTGTAGATTGTGCGTGTCTCAAGTCGTTTTCAAGCTTACTTTGCACTGCATCTCTGTCTTTTGCGGCTTCTGATAATAATTTACATCTGAAAAAATATACGTAGGTATTTTTAAAGTATTCATGCGAAAATCGATGGTCATAGGCATCTCTAAGGTCGGCGAGCAACCTTCACACACAGTTATCAGTGACGTCAATGGCGACGTTTCGTTCCGTCACTAGTATATATATTATCAAATTATCCTAGATTTATAAAAAAAAAAGAAGTCTGGTGGCCGGGAGCTTAAGTCGCCCGCTTCTCATGCATGGGGTTGCGTGTTTGGAACCTGGCAAGTACCAATGCGACTTTTTCCGACTTATAATGTATTTTCTATGATATGAAACATTGTTTCTTTGCGCGTTCCAATAATAGCCAATTCTTCTTGACCAAGCGTTGTAACTAATTCTCAAACCTTCTCCGTGTAAAAAAAGGCCTTTGCTCAGTAATGTTATGCGATGTATAGGCTGATGATGTAATTAAAAAGAATATATTTATGTGGATATATATTTTTTTTGGCTCCATCGGCGTTTGGCATCCACGCGTATATTACGCACACGCAAAAAACAATGTAAGTTTATAATTAGTGTGTAAAAAATCGTACTTTTCCTCCAACTCAATATTTCGGCTCCTCATTACAGAAACTTCAGTTTCTAATCTTTGGTTTAATTCCTTAAACTTTGATACTTCTGCATTTGTATGCTCTTGAATTTTGACCGACAGCAGTTCCACTTGTGACGAGAGTGTTTGTTTCTCCAAATTCAAACGGTGATTTAATGCATCTGTTGTTTCCTGCTTTAAACGAGTTTTCGCTACTTCTGTAATGTAATAAACAATGGAGTAAATACTTTATCAAATTATTATGAAGGTGATTATTATTAAAAATTTTACATATTTTTTACACTACAAAAAAAATGGCAGCTGTTAAACAAAAAGCATAACAACAATTTAGCCCTTTAAAAATTGTATTTTCAATTACAAATACAAAAACAGTAGGTACTGTATGTACTTAGAATGCAAACAAAAATACAATACATAAGTATTAAAAACCACTAATCTACCATGAGAAATTGTACTCAAAAATACAAATTCCAAACCTTTTAAGTGCAGCACACAAACCATAGCCCATGCAAAACAAACTAAATTAAAAAACAAATGTACCTTTACTATCAACATCATTACCATCCTCTGTCTTCCGTAACCTGTCCAATAGTTCAGCAACTTCTCGGTTCATTACATTCAGTTCGTTCTTCAGCATTGCATTCTCCACCTCCATGTTCTGCATCTTATATGTCCATTCTTCACCGTTCAACAGTTCCAAGTCTGATGGTAAGCTGAACCCTAGAAAAAAATTATTATGATGTGTTGTACAGCACATTGTCTTTTAACTGAAGGGGGAATTCATCAATTGACTTCTGATACCCTGTGAGGGGTAAGAGTGAGTGTCAGAGTCTTACTGACTAATAACCACCCTGATCCTTCTGCAATGGGTCAAACGATATTATTAGGGTTGCACCCACAACCCTGGCTGAAATTTGATGGCGTAATAGCATTTTGGCCATTTTGTTCAGGCAGCAAGTTACTCTTGCTCACTGTCATCAGACCCAAGCTTACAGTGAATGGAGATCATGCCACAATCCAGACCCAATGCTGGGGACAGCAGAATGACTATATTCAGCAGTGGATGATGTAAAATATAACAGCAAAATAAATTGAAAATACATTGTTTTAGCATAAAATTATTTATAATCATTTAGGCCATTTTTTTTACTATGAATACTTGCATGATTAGTTTTGTATCATGCAATCCAGTCACTTTCTTAAGTCTTCAACATTCATTTAATCAACATGTTTTCAAATAAACATTAATATCTTTAGTGAAAGTTGTTAAATCAGATTGTAAATTACTTATTGACTGAATAATTTATGCACCATGGGTGGCTTTTAGCCTGTTTTATATTCCTCTAAATTAGTTTTTAAAGTCACACTGGCTTTGCCTATTTTAATTTTTTTATTCATAAATAAAAAACTAAGTATTAATTGCAGAGAATGTATGGGCACTTACTTCTATGTTTCAAACCATAGTTTTCAAACATGTCATTGTCTTTCACATCTCCAACTAATGTTCTAGGGCACTGTTGTTCTAGATTGAACTGACGGCTTGGACTGGTTTTCCTTGAAGGTGATACTTTCGACTTCAGAGAACCATTCTTTACAGAATCAACATTATCTCTTACTAGTGTACGTGGTTGCTGATGTGAAGTTGGTGAAGACTTGCGACTAGCTGGTATTGGCATAGCTTTTTTATTGCGAGTCGTCACTCGTTTCTTTGGCGCCCAAACCGTCTCAGTGGTATGACCGACAATGAATTCTGGTGCATTGCTGTCAAACTTTTTTCTCGAAACGTTATGGCTGCGTAAAGCTGCGCCGGTCTGTTCGTCCAGGTTGTTAAGGAGGCTCTCCGCCTTCCCGGCGAGGTCCGCGAACCATGACATTTATACAAATTACTTATTGCCTGAAACCAACGTTATCATCAGGTCATATCGAGAACCTTTAGAAATAGGATATGTTTTTGCTGCATTCGCTGTATTCGATTTGTAACACTTAAGAATAATACATACCAGGCATCAGGAAAACGGGAGGCCGAGGTGAAATGGGTTCTCCGATCTATTTTTTGTAATCAAAACATTTTCGTGACAGCTGACACGTAAACATCCATCACTCAAGAAGTTTTGTTGTGAACTTTTGAATGAAAATGTCAGATTCAGTTAGACAAACAAGCCAAGAAAAAAAAAATCGCATTTCTAGTGGGGATCCTAATAACTTGACCCATTTACAGGTAAAACTTTTACGGTTTTCTAATAAGGAAAAGCCGAAGCTATTAAAGACTATACCTTATTAAAATAATAAAATAAAAGCAAGTTTCTTCACTTATATATCGTTTTTATAGTTTCTTTTAATATGAATAATTTAATATGGATTTTCGCAAATTCGGCAGATCTCGCTTAGTAGAATAAAATTGAAAACACGTAATACGTAGACAGACGACATAATATTACAGTACGTCACTTGTCACTGTTGTCAACATCAAACGAACAATTTGTTATCTGTGAGTAGTAGATGACAAAATGGTTTCATGTTTTGCCGAAAGAAAACATTATATTACTTGATTGAAATACTAATTAATAGGCGTAGTTTGCAATCATAGATATGGATTTTGAAAGTCCAGACGTAGAAAAGGATTTTCCTGGCTTATATGCATCTGAAAGTGGCAGGAAAAGTAATGAAAGCGATTGTAAGTACTTTAATCTGACTAGTTTTCAGGTGTTTATGCTATAGATTAAATTTATACCAAAAAGTTTCATGGATTTGAAAATTTTTCCTTGAGGCGCATTCGCATGCACAAGTCTGGACAGAGATAGTACCTCAACACCAAATAGCTTTTCCTTCATCTACATCCACTTATTATACTTTCCAATAATACCACTCTGCATATCCATATCTCCAACAGTTTGGAAGAAATATGTATAAGAATATAATAACATGAGACTTTTTATTTTTAGTCAGTGATGGTGCTGATCATGAAAAACCAAGCAAGAAAGACCTATTGGGTCGACGTAAAGAAAAAAAAGAGAAGAAAGATAGAGGCTATGCTGCACTAGAAGGAGAGAGTTCACCAGAGGAGGATACTGATACTAAGTCAGTATATTTTATTAATTTTAGTTTGTACATGTTTATACCATTGCACCTTTACTTAATTATTGGAGGTGCATGCAGGAAGAGCACATAGATAATGCAATACTCCTTTTTACCGACTTATAAATATCTCATTATCATTTGCTACACAACCCTGGATGAATGTAATATAATACAAATAACTTTGCAAAGCTTCAGCCCAAATATGATGATCTTTTAGTATTATAAATTATTGTCATTTTGTATCAATAATTTATGCAACTAAATTAATAATTGTAACTGCTTACAAAATAATTATATTTCCTATAATACCTAAAAATAGCCATGTAATAGTAAAACCACAATATAATTTACAGTAACACTTGTGACTAATTCTATCATTTGATATTAATGAGAAAAAAAGTCTTGCTAATTAATTTTTTTTAGCAAAAATACTATTTTGCTTGCTAAATTGTTTAAAACTTTTGTAATAATCTACTGAAATGCATCAAAATTTAAACTTCACCATATTGTGTTCATTATTCGAACCTTTCCTAGTTGCAAGACTTTTGGTGTCCATGTTCAATGTGAAGTGCTTTTTAATAAAATACCTCAAACTTATAATATGGAATATAATATCTCAAACTGTGTTTTCTGTAAACCAAATTGTTCTCAAGTATGTGTTGTGTTGAGATGTTGTGATGTTTAAGAGACAAATCTCTAATCTTACATTGAAGGGACAAATAATTTTTTTTTTAAATTCTTGAATTCAAATATCTATACTAATATTATAAACAAGTAAAATTTGTAAGTTTGTACATATGTAGATAGTAATCTTTGGAACCACTCATGGGATTACCAAAAATCTTTTACTGATTGATAGCTACAATGCTCCTGTGTGCTGTAGGCTATAAAACATCACGCTACGATTTAACGGAGCCGAGCAGCGGGTGAAACCGCGCGAGAGTAGCTAGTATTAAAATAAAATAAAAATTGATAATTTTTTATCACACTTATAATTAAACTCTCATCTCAGCAATATTGATTACTAGTCTTAACTAGTCGTAAATAAAAACACGAAGCAAATTTTCTTTTCATTTTAAAATAATAAGAAACCCACATTTTGAAAAAGTTCACATGATGGATGAGGGGGTTCAATAAAATCTCACGACATCTAACAAAGGGAGGGCATGAATTTTAAAAAATATACCTCACATAATTTATACATTTTAATTATTATTATTTTATACAAACTGGAATTTCTTTCTACTCTATTGGAGCAAACCAATAAGTATAAATGCATGTATGTATAAAAATTCTATTGTACCATTCCAAAATTAAAATGAAGCATTTTGCCAGAAGTCCATCGAAATCAAAGAAGACAAAATCATTTAAGTTCCCGACTAAGAGTAAGGAGAAACGCGAAAAATCTCGTGACAAAGAAAAGGTATTAGAGGATTCCGCAAAGCAAAAGGAAAGGGAAGAGAAAGAAAAGAAGAAGGAAAAGGAACGTGAAAAGGAAAGGGAAAGAGAGAAAAAGGAGAAGGAGAAACGCGAAAAGTTGAGAGAGAAAGATAAGGTCAGTATCTTCATTGTTATTTTTTAATACGATAGTTTCCAACTAGTCAAATTCAATACTTTTATCCAACTGTCAAAAACGATACTTTTCTATTAAATTTGTATGAAAGACTGAGTTATGACGTCATAGTATTTTGAGTCAAATAGCTTACTTATTTCTTAAACATTAGCTAAATAATATCATTTGAAGAAATAAGCTGTGCCTTTGTACCTAATTGTTTTATTATTTTTCTTGGCCAACTTACTGTGTGTACAAAAATTATTAAATAAATTAATGTATCGATCAATCAATGAATAAAAGTATAGTTATTTTTCAATATTTTATTGTATCGAAACATCGAAATAATTTATTTTTTACCTAGAAAACTACCCAATTGGTGAATTTTTATGTGATATGGCATTTAACGAGCTAACTTGCTTACCTGATAGTAAGCAGTTGGTATCAACCATGGACATTCGCTTTTGGATATGTAGGGTTTTGAGGATTTAGGGATTGGGAAGGGTTATGGGCGGGATAGGATTAATCCCTCGGCTCATACGGCGAACACGGTTGTTTCACGCTTGTTTTCTGTGAGGCCGTGGTATCCTTTTCATCGAGCTGGTCCATTTTGCAGAAATATGACTTAACCTCAGTTACTAATAAAATACTACTACAAATAATCATTCTCGTGTGAAAGAGAATGGTATGTTCAATTTCAGCACAATTAAAGCTGGCTAAAAAGCAGTTCTGTATATCTGCTTATTATATTTGTAATTGCATGATTATGGTGCTTTGTATGTCTACATATAGCTTGGTTTGTGCTCATTACCTCTCATTATGATACATTCACCATGATACAAAAGAGATAATGAACACTATAGCATATATTTTAGCCTGTTTTAGTCGTATGTCCCCGTAATGAGGGTCAAATTATGAGTTCTACCATAGTAAGGGTCAGATTTTTGTCGTAACTCAAATCTGGATAAAACATTTTAAATCTAATAAAAAAAAAAAAAGTTTATTTTAATCAAAAAATTCTGATGGTGTCTGAGACTATATTATTTTTAACCGACTTCAAAAAGGAGGAGGTTCTCAATTCGACCCGTATGTTTTTTTTTGTATGTATGTTACTCGATTACTTTGCCATTTATGAACCGATTTCCAAAATTCGTGTTTTGTTTGAACGGTTATACTCCCGAGAGGGTCCCATTTTTAATATAAGAAATAATGTTGACTCACTTAACAACATACTTTTGGTAGCTCACAAGTAAACCAATTAGATATATTTATTAGAATAATTATCTTATACTTGCTAACTTAGGCTTCATATAGTGTAAATAGCAACCAGTAAATAGTTTAGTATAGCTTTTAAACTTTGCCCCACTCTTGAATTTTCTCCTGTGTTGTGGGTGTGTTTACAAACAAACAATTTCACATACGTCACACCCAGACCGAGAACAAGAATTTGTGTATCACACAAAGAATAGTTCCGTATGTAAATCGAATCCGTAACACGTTGCAAAGCTGCCGGTTGCCTAGCCGCTGAACCAACCGTGCAGTCAATAATAGTGAAGTTTTAATATTGTTAAACATATGGGTAGTTAAGAATATTTTCAATTACAATAAGTACACAATTTCTGATGAGTTTTTTGTGTCTAAATGAAGAAAAATTTTAATGTAAAATTTCCATAAGTAACACTAAGTTACTTGTCTCGTAGACAACTGACGATTTTACTAAATATAGACAGATTACTATTTTCATTAGCTTGAAAAATTAATCGAAAACGTAATGGTGATTGCTTCATAAATAAAGAAAAATATGTGCATATAAATATTATACAAAAATCGTGAATTCAATGAATTATAACGAAATTCTTGTACTTAGAAATCGCCAGGACAAATGTTGAGACATTACCCGATCCGACCTTGTATTTTGTTACATGAAATTACTCTCTACTGCTCATGTATAAAGTTGAAAACGAATTGGCTAGGGTCGTGACACATCCATTGTCGTATAGCCTTGCAATTGTCGCATTTGTTCATTATTTCATTAGATTTGTCTTCGACTAATCCTTCAGTGACTTTGCTTTAGTAAAAATACATTTTATTTTCGTTCATAGTACGAATTGTAATTCAAGAATTATTTACTATGTCGGGTTTAATTTTCGCGGTTCAGTGGTTGATAAGTTTTGCATAATTGCAGTATTCAGTAGGTGTAGTGACCTTGGACAAGCGTTTGGAACGGTCATGGTTTGCTCAGTTGGGTCTCGAATACGCGTCATGCATCACCTACGCAATGTTTTCTCAAAGGTGCGCGGATTTTACGTGTTCATTTGTTGTTTATTTTTTTTTCTTATCAAGGAGTTTCCAATCAATTGGCCAGCTTGCGCGTTTTTTAATCTGTTGTTATAGTGTATTTAAGTTAAAATTGAATAGATTTACGTTAAATCTATTAAAGTTTTAAAATGTAAATTGGTTTGTGTTCATCGGTTTTTAATATAGTACTTTATTCTTGTGTATTTAATTTAATATGCAGACTATAATGTGCAATCCATAGTTTTATAACTTCAAAATAAAATATTGTTCTTTAAACCATCCAACATTTTTGTTTTCGAAACAGGAAAAGGAAGAAAAAGCGAAATTCAAGCTAGAATCAAAAGAAAAACTGAAAGATGAGAAAAAAGACAAGACGAAAGATAAGGACAAGGAGAAAGTGAAGGAAAAAGAAAAAGAGAAAGTGAAAGAAAAAGATAAAGATAAAAAGGATAAGAAACTGACGAAAGTTCCATCTACGTTCACATGTGGGGTACCTTTCGAGGAAATATTTACCTTAGGAGGTAAGTGATAAGTACTTGTATATTTTATAGTATTGCATGCTTACCTAGATATTGAAGCAGGGGCTGCTGGGCAAGCGCCATAAGGTATCACAGCTTCGGCCTGGAGCAGGAGAAGGAACGGGGAGGTTTTTAGTCAGTAAAAGTCTGACAGTCAATCTCGCCATAGAATAAGCGTTGATCATCTTCCCTCCTCAGGAAAAAACTTCGATATTTAAGCAGTTTCGATGTGAACTTTGAAAAGGTGAACTTATACGAAAACTACAATTAAATGCCTTGTTGAGCCCTAGGTTCGAGGTAATTGTTTTCAATCATGGTTGTGGTCGCAAGCCCTGCCACGGAGCAGGATTAGAAACAGGGTAGTTTTTAATCAGTAAGAATCTGGCAAATCCTCACGCGCCACCCTGAGCGGGAAAAGTAATTTGTTGACGTATGATTGGAATAACAAGTGCGAAATTACATAAATTGAGTACAGAAGCAGATATCTTGCGGTTAATGTGACAATGAAGTATTGATGTCAGAGCCACTACCTATGTGTACCTAGTATTTAGAACGGGGTTTTAAATCAGTAGGAGTCTGACAATCTTGCCAAGAAAGCAGGAGTCATTTGATGATTCTTCATCCTCACATAAAAGTTCGAACCCTTTTTCGACCTGTGATGATGTCTTTAGAAGCCACCAAACTGTCAAAGGAAAGGCAACGGCATTTTAGTGACATTAGTGTCATAAATTCACAAGCGGCTTGCCAACGTGAAAATTTGACAAAAGCCTCTACCATTGCGATTATGTACCAGTAGGTTTACCCTTTTGAATTATCGTATAGTAATCGAATAATTCTAAACAATAGAAGAACAATAGATGCGCGAACGCCAGCGTTCGCTTAAGGTTCGATGTATTAATGCATGTCTAAAAACCACTTTCGCTCTTTTGCTCCAGTCCGGGGTAGCGGAACATTAAAGGTTCCTTATATGTTTTAAAGGTTCAGAAAACATTAGTAGTCATTATTATTGGTTCTCTTAATACATTTTCAATAGCGACTGAAAAATCATTATCGCTAATACTACGGTCGACGTTTAAAATATCGTAGGTCTCCAGAGTCTATTTGTGGGTCAAAAAGTTAATGAGATCGGAAATATTTAATATCTTAAAGAAAAGTCCCTTATTTCGGGCAAACTCTCTAGTTTCGCCATGTGAGCTAAGCTACCAAAGGCCCAATCCCATCCTCCTCCATCTCGAATCTCCGATTTCCCAATCCTCAAATCCCTAACTGGTAATCCGTTTACCGACCAATCAATTCAAATTGAAATTATTTATAGATTTTTGGTATAAAAACTATCCTATGTCCTTTCTCGAGTTCCAAACTATTCCTGTACCAAATTTCACAGAAATCGATTCAATAAATTAGGCGTGAAGAAAAGACAGAGAGACAAGAGTTACTTTTGTATTAATAATATTAGTATAGTATAGATTCTTTATATATTTGAATATTATCATGTAAGTATGTTATTATTTATTTAATTTATTTATTTAATAATTTATGTACACACAAACAACACAGAGGAAAATACATAAAAAAATAAGAGTACAAAGGTGCTACTTATTCCTGTTGGAATTTCTTCCAGTAGACCTGAGACAGGAAATGAACGAATGGAACTGTTATCATAATATAAAATTTGGCCAGATTATTAAAATAATTTCACAAAAACAGATCACACAAAATCAGCCAATAGTGATTTTCATGGGTGATAGTACAGGAGTAAACAAGCGGGATATAACTGATGGTATCAACACCTTATTAAGACTAAACACAGGGAATATAATGTTATGTGCATTCCCATATGCTGACACTTTGTCACAAAGTGAAAATAGTAGAATTCATCATCTGAACAATTTAATATTTTTTTTGACCTCTTGTCATAGTGACAAATTATCATTTTTTGACACTAACAAATTTGTTAGTGGTTTTAAGTTGACCCGGGATTATATGTATATTCCCAGGAAATGTAAATTATTAATTGCTAGTTTGCTAGCAAATAGTATTAATTTATTAATAAGTAGTTTTAGTGACAAATCTATATTGATTAGACAATCTAACAATATAGAGATTAATTGTACATACAATAGTACGAAGGAGGCTCCAGATTTATTGACAAATGTGGATAGTACTCCGGATAGTATTCTTTTAAACTGACTTCTACGACAACAGAAGATAACCAATTAAATTACTCAAAAACCACATTCATTGAAAAGGTTTCTTCTGGCAATATTATTAAGCATCAATTTAAATTAAAACATAAAACTAAATTAGATAACTTGTTGTCATTATACAGTCAAAATATTCAGGGCTTATCATCAAAATTCCTAGAAATTGAATTGTTTTTAGAGAAATTCCAATATGATATTATTTGTTTAACTGAACATTGGTTAAAAGATTATCAAGTAGAAACAATTAACTTCAATAACTATTGTGTTGGCAGCAATTATAGCCGCCAAGCAATGATACATGGTGGTAGCCTGATTTTAGTAAAGAACTCAATTAAATATAAAGAAAGACAAGACATTGCTCTGCTGTCAATTGAACACACAATAGAGTTGTCCTGTGTTGAGCTGGATAGGCATATTGTAGTATGTGTTTATAGGGCTCCTAACATACAGAATCTAAATATTTTTCGCTCTGTAATGGAAGATGTACTGCGGAAAACATGTACTAGTAGTAAATGTACAATAGTATGTGGCGATTTTAATGTTGATCTCTTAGAAAACAATTCTCATTGTACAAACTTGTTAAGTCTATTTCAATCATTTGATTTGTCTAATGTTTTCCTTGAGCCCACCCGAGTAACATCCACCTCGGCAACTTGTATAGATAATATTTTCTGTAACTGTGATTATTTACAAAGTGAAATTGTAAATAGATTACCATCTGATCACAGTGGGCTCACAGTTAACTTTAATACTATAACAACTGTGCCAAAAAAGGAAATATTGTTTAGACAAATCACATACAAAAAAATTGATTCATTAAATAATAAGCTAAAACATAAATTATGCAGCCAAGTACAAGACAATAATTGCCCGAGTGAGATATATGCCAATTTATTATCCCTTATAAAAATACAATTCGATAAACTATTTCCTTTAAAACGTAAAAATATTCAGTGTAAATTTGTATTCTGTGACTGGGCTACACCAGGTATTCGTATAAGTAGAGACAGGTTATTTGAGCTATACGGCCTGAAACCATTTAATAGTAGCGAGGCTTTTCGCAGACATGTTTCCAAATATTCAAAAATATTTAAAATAGTATGTAAGCATGCTAAGTCGCTCCACATTAGTAATAAAATCAGGACCGCGGAAAACAAAATAAAAGCTACCTGGAATATAATTAATAAAGAAACAGGTAGAAATAAATCACAAAACACTGAATTTAATTTAAAAACCGAAAAGGGATATACTAGTTCAAATTCGTCAGTTGCCCAGGAATTCGAAAGATTCTTTAAAAATATTCCTCTTAAAACTACGGAAACGTTAAAATCATCTCCAGCACTTTCTGTCGAGCTTCTCAGGGGTAACGTCAAAGAATGTCCTTCTGACTTTAGCTTTCAATACACAACCCCCCAGTCAGTAATAAAGGCGTTCAATGAGATCAAAGTGAAGTCAACTGAAGATCTTTGGGGAATGTCTGTTCGAGTGTGCAGGTCGTTTATAGAGACAATTGCGCCGAACTTAACGTTCATTTTTAATAAAAGTGTAGATCAAGGGGTTTTCCCGGATTTAATGAAACATAGTAAAGTAGTTCCATTATTTAAATCAGGTGATAGTACAGAACCTAATAACTATAGGCCGGTCTCTATTTTGCCAGTGCTCAGTAAAGTGTTCGAAAGGTTGATGCTTACTCAAATGCTGCGTCACTTTAACACGAATTGTATTTTCCATGACCATCAATACGGGTTCACCAAAGGACGTTGCACTACGGACGCAGGAGTATCACTTATAAAACAAGTTTTCAACTCGTGGGAAAAAGCACAGGATGCCATCGGAATATTTTGTGACCTTTCAAAGGCATTCGACTGTGTTGAGCACGAGACGCTGTTACTGAAGCTAGAACACTACGGCATTCGGGGGGTATCCCTAGATTTATTGAAATCATACCTTCAAGAAAGAAAAATTAAAGTACAAGTCAACAAAGTTAACTCACTGGGTGCTAGCGTATCTATGGGCGTACCGCAGGGCTCAATATTAGGTCCTTTTCTATTTTTAGTTTATGTAAATGACCTGCCCCATATGTTCCAAAATGAACCGCATATGGTATTATTCGCTGATGACACTTCATTGATTTTTAAAATAAATAGACGAACAAATAAATATGACGAAGTTAATAATGCCTTAATGAAGGTTCAAAATTGGTTTACAATAAACAACCTATTACTAAATGATAAAAAGACTAAATGCATTAGATTTATTTTACCAAATGTTAAAAGTAATGTATGTGATGATATATTATTAAATGATCAGAAACTAGAATTTGTAAAAGAGACTACTTTCCTGGGGATCACTGTAGATGAGAAGTTGCAATGGGGGCCCCACATCAGGTCTCTAGCAGGACGATTGAGCTCTGCAGCTTATGCTGTCTGGAAGATCCGTCAGCTAACCGATGTAGGCACGGCAAGACTAGTACTTTAGCTACTTTCATAGCATCATGTCGTATGGAATTCTGTTGTGGGGACAGGCATCTGACGTTGAGTCTATCTTTATCTTGCAAAAGCGTGCCGTCAGAGCTATATATAACTTAGGTCGTCGCGAATCTCTCAGAGAAAAGTTTAAGGAGATCAACATTCTGACCGTACCGAGTCAATTTATTTATGAAAACATTATGTATGTTAGGAAAAACCTACACTTATTTGTAAAGGTATCTGACAAACATGATTATCATACTAGACATAGGAATAGATTGAGTCAGCCTTTATTTAGATTGGCAAAAGTGCATAAATCATTCCTGGGTTTCTGTGTTAAATGTTATAATAAAATCCCAGTTGAAATTCAAAATCTAAATGAAAGCAAATTCAAATTATGTATAAAGAAACATTTATGTAAACTAGCATACTACAAAGTAAATGATTATATACAAGATAAAAATGCTTGGAGGCTAGCTGGTCCTACTCCACAGGATGTTTAGAGGAATTTTTGATTTTAATTATTAATTTTTACACTATGTTGTTAATTGTTGATGATCTTCTAAGTTTTTGTAAATGTAAGTGCCCTGTAACCTATTATAATTAAGTAAGACTTGTAGAATATAGGTACTTGTGTCGGCTGGGAGCTGTCATGCTCACTCAGAGGTCTCATTGGCGGTGGCACGGGCACTGGATCGCCCAATTCCCTATAATATGGTTGAGTTGGGCGGTGCTGGTGTACGTGTCATGTTCGTGAACGGGCGCCGCCTATTGGGGACTGGTCAGCTCCAGGCTGTCTAATTATGTTGTCCTTGAGGTTCACTTCTTTTTCGTACTTTTTGCCTGAACATTAGTGTTACATTGTTCTCACATATCAGAACCGACTAAATGATGTAACAAAGAAATGTATTGTAAAACTGATTGAAAAAGAGTAACCATGGAGTTTCTTGCTCGTTCTTCTCCATAGGAATCTACACTTTGGAACGAGCAAATAGCTTCACTAGAGGACAGACGGACAGACTGACACGCTTAATTTTAAAGCTCTTGTTATATACTTTTTTTCCTTTTTTGCTTGTTTGACGTTCAAAAGTGCCTACTGTGGTCTAATTGAAATAAATGATTTTTGACTTTGACTTTGAATGTAATTAAAATATAAGACACAGTGTGTAACAAAAGTGAAAAAAAAGAACTAACGATAACAAATAGGTAATATATGTATATATATATATAATATAAATATAAATACTTAATATATAATAATAACAATAAATAAGATACACATATAAATAAACGTAACTGTAAGTACTCATGAAGAAAGGTAATGGTCTTTAAAACTAGTTTTTTGAACAGAGCGAGCGATTTAGCGTCACGAATGTTAGGCGGGAGAGAATTTCACAGTCTCACAGCATAAACGGTGAAAGAATAGGAGAAGAAGTCGGTATTATGAGGCACGATTTTAAGGTTGGACTTGAGATGAGAACGAGTTAGGACTTCAGGAGGACGCACCATATAAATGTTATGTATAAAAGCAAACCCACTAATTCTTAGAAGAAGCACTTATAAATATTTAATTTATCGAAACTTCTTGCCAAAAAGACCCCAATGACACCTGAACTCTTGTTCATTTCATTGTAAATCAATCAATACTCGAAACAAAATAAGTTCGTCTCATTGTGCGTCACGAACAACAGATTCTGATTGTAACGACGTGTTCACCCGGTAAACAATGTTTTTATTTAGTTTGTAGGTTAACGATCCCCCGCTAAACATTTAGTCTCTTTATTTATTTATTTAGGATCTTCAACAAAATGCGTTCATCTATGTAGATAGGTTTTATCTTGTGAGTTGTAGCTACTTACTGAAGATTTGTCAGAGTATTAATAAGGCTTTAAATTTTAAAATGTATCTATACTATACTAAATATCAATTAAGAAGGCGTTTGTGAGTTTGAATGATTGAGGCAAGCATTAACTAACCAAGTGGGTGTGTTTAATGGAGTATTTATTTATAAACATAAATGGCCTCCATAGTCTAAAAAACTTATTATGTTTAAGATTATTCTCCTGCGCTTCGCTTTGTGTTCTTAATTGAAGGGATTTACTTCACATACTTAACATCCCCTGTTCTTAGGCTGCGAAAAGGCTCATTCTTTTTTTTTATAAAAAAACTCTTTTTACCTGTACAAAAATTGATTTTCATACCTTCAGTATTATCTGTGGAAAACCATAATCGGAAAAATTATCTGCGATGCCAAAATAGAGCATTCTTTTCAAGGTAAATTGATAACAACGCGTGTAAACATGAATTCTTTAGGACAATCGTCGTACTTTGTCAGTAGTTAGTTACAATCTCACGATTTCACCAACAGGTCGTGCTTGTTTTTCGTGATTTTTTCATAATTATGAACCCTTTTACACATGGCTTCACTATAGGTGGTAAGTTTTTTCAATAATCGTCCTTATTTAACCATTTTTAAGCAACATTATTCCTTGATTTTATATAATAAATTATGTTTCAAGTACAGTCGTCCACAATAGGCTAATGGTACGACAATTAAACTGTAAGAGATCATAAAAGGCCCGTAAAATCACAATGGCAGTAAAGTCCGCATGTACGATCCATATGAGCGAACATGTTCTGATTATTATGTGACACGATGTGCTCTGATGAATTTTTAATGTGATTTATTACTTGTGTACGTGATTGTACCTCAGTTTACAGAGCCAACATTTTTATTGCTTTTTTGATGAGTTAAAGTTTGGGTAGCAAATAGGTTTGTCTGTTTTATATTCGATGCATTAATTATTGGAAATTGTGTTAATGATCTAGTTTATCTAGGTTACTGTTTACTGTAGCTAATTCAGACTTGACACGAGACTTTGAAGTCGATATAAATACAAATCCAGCTGGTTTGAACCAAAAGTCTGAGACATTAATTGGATAACGGATTACACTGCCAATTTTTTACCGCGACATTTAGAAATACAGTCACAACAACTAAGTATATCAACATTCAACTAGAGAATTGGGTAGTATTTGGTTGAATTAATTAATATTATTATTAAACGAAAACAAGAGGAATGTAATATTGAATCCCTATATGAAACGATAAGATTTCATAGCCTTTTAAAATTGATACCGAGTACTCGAATCCCCCTGAAATAGAGAACTATAAAGGAAGTTTAGTCCAATAGTCAGTTATCGTTGACAATGATGACTTTAAGCTTTCTATGTTCATCATCATCAGCAACGTATAAGTGCCCTCTGCTGAGTAAGGGCCTCTTCTCACACGGAGAAAGTTTGAGCATTATTCACCACGCTTGCTCCAGGCGGATTGGCGATTTCCAGATTTCCTCACAAGTTTTCCTTGTTGTGTGTCTAAATAATCTTAAGAAATACATATTACTTTTTATGACTTTTTCCGAGTAATAAAATACGAAAAGCGGGCGCTTTTCTATGAGAGGAGAAAAACTTTAAACCCAAGCTTAGTACAACACGCGATCGATTTGCTACATATGTACCTACCACAAACACGAATATTTTTGAATCTTTTAATAAATAGATGTGGTATCATCCAATATCTGAAAAACAACTAAAAATGCACGGTAGTTAACTACCTCCTTAAAAACTGCAATAGTAAAAAGTTACTGATAGCGATACAAATGTGTGACTATTTTTAGCATTAGTTGTAGATCTATCTAGACTAGACTACTAGTTTGTGTAATTTAACGCCTGTCTCAACAACCATATAATTAAAAAAATATAAACCGTATAAAGTTTCCGATAAATTTATGTGATGCAAATAATTATGTTCATACAAATAACGGTCTATATTCAAAATCTGGTACTTAGTGGTTATTCAGACATTGTGGTACAAGCCCTGATTCTAAAGAATATACTTATATAACTACGATACGAATTTAAACAGTTTTTATACATAATACTTCGTGTATTATTATTACTTTATTAAATACAATATTTTAGTGGTTATTTTTACTCAGTAAGTCTCGCCTAAAACTGGGTGAAAAAAAATATTTTTGCAATATTGTCTGCCTCTATGTGTAGATTGCCGGCTTCTATAGAGAATATGAGATCTAAAGGAGATTGTAATACGCCATTTTTTTTTAATTTGATTGTTTCTTGTTCCAGTGGCACTCCCGATATTTGGCGTACCGTTAGCACAGTCAGTGGAGCGTTCGAGATGTCACGACGACACCGGTCTACCTCTCGTCGTGCGAGACAGCATCGATTACCTACAGGTACTTTTTTTTACATACTCCACTTTTATTAAATTTTAGCTTAAATTGATAATTCGTTCATTAGGCTCTATCATACAATGCCTGTGCTTTCTGGTAAAAGTGAGTTGTGAGCTTCACTATTAACGTTAATTCAATAAAAAACGATTATTATAAAATATTGGGGGTTCATTATTATCTCCTTACTTCTTACTAGTGTTATAAATGCGAAAGTTACGATGTTTGGATGTATGTAACTCAATCACACCAAAACGGCTAGACGGATCTGGATGAAAGAACAATGTTCATTTTTGACCTGACTATGTATAGAAATGAAATAAATATTAAAATGTAGCTTATTGTTTTCTGTATTGATTACGCTTATTACAATATTAGAAGAAACGCAGGAAAAAAAGTTTTTTTTCATTTAATCACGTAACATTTTTTCTATGGCATAACGTATTAACATATTTTGAACGCATCCAAATCATCCTTCTTTAAAACGTTCCATTTTACACTTTGCTGCTTGACTTTATTTAACTGTGTTTCTGAGTTTTATGGTTATTTCACAATTAATTTGATCAGTAAGTATTTATTTATTAGTCATGGCATAAAATAAATTATTTAATAAATAACACAATAATTAAATTAAATTAATTATGCAGTGTTTCATTTAGTGGCCGTAAGTGAAATGGTTTTTTTGACATTTGACTGACAGTTGACAGTTCTGTGATTTGCATCGGCGCAGTCCTTCGTTGTTGCGCTTGCGTGTCGTTGTGTACTGTGCTATTTCGTGTGTGTATGACATATGTAGACAATATATCTGCTCCAGCAGCATTTCTGGATGACGTAGTTATAAGAGAACTTGATGATAATGATGAGTATTAATAAACTATTCCATTGTAACATAGTGTTTTATTTACTTTATTTAACTATTTTTTTAGTCTTATAAATGTGCGTTAAATGATCTTTTAACAATGTTGGTTTACCAAATAAATAGGTAATGTGTCATGGAGAACAACAGTTCTCAACTCGACACTCATTTTATAGTGGCAATCATTGAGTCTTAATATTGACTTACAATTATTGGTTTCAAGGAATTAACAAAGTAGAAAAGATGTTTTAAACCATTACTTAGGTAAAAGATATTCCTATTTTAGAATAAACTTCGAGCGTTGTTAATAAGTTCATACACGTTTGTTTAATTATCATTTCTGTTGACAGCAAATCCTAACCTAAAAATAAACATTAATATTTTTCGGAATTTGTGGCGTTTAAATCGCCAAAATGAATTTATTACATTATTTTCTAAACTTATAGGAATTATTTCTACTATATCTTATAGCTATACATATACTTTCACTATCAGGTTTTTCAATGTATGGGAAGTGGGCATTGTTCTTTGGTACAGTCATAGGATACACTCCGGAGTAGGACACAGGCTGCTTTTTATCAACATACCACGCAGGCGAAGCCGCGTGCGGAAGCTAGTTTGTCATGTCTCCAATCATTGTAATAAGTCCTCTTGCTATCAATCTCAGTCCTATAATTTCGTCAAAATCGATTCAGCACTTTAGGCACAAACGAGCCATAATACAAACTCATTTTTACATTAATCAGAATTAGCTCACTTACTACTATATTCTTGCGCACAAAACCTATATAGTTGACCTACATAGTCAGGTACTAATGAAGAGTAAACAAAAGGTATATACACTTGGTGTCATCCTCAATGCCACGTCCCCCATAGTCAATTATCGTAATAGCTTGTAGAACAGACAGCATTTATCAAAACGATGATCTATTAGTCTCTTTTGTTTTAAGATACTATGGATACTTGAAACTTCTTTGAAGGTTGCTTTTCAAGGTGATAGAAATTGACTGCACGGTTGGCGCGGTGGCTCGGCAACTGGCTGCCGCGCAACGTGTCGTGAGTTCGGTTCCCGCACGGAATAACTTTTGTGTGATCCACAAATTGTTGTTCCGGGTCTGGGTGTGGTGTGTATGTGGAATTGTATGTTTGTAAACACACCCACGACACAGGAGAAAATGCTAGAGAACGGCAACGTTTTTTAAAAAAAAGGGTAAAAAAATTTAATTTATTAGCAATGTGGTTTTATTTGTAACATAAAGAATTTAGATTTTTAATTAATTTGATCCATTATTATAAGAAATTTGTTATTCCATACTTACATTAACGTTAAAAATACCATCAATTATCAATTACAACATTTCCTTTACAATTGTCTTCGAAGATATTTCGTAAAAACGGACGTGCATTCGTAGTCTTTGTAGGTAGGATAGGATTCACGGTAGGCGAGCCGATTAAACTAATGCATTGTTTACTGTGCAACTTCTAATAACACTCATAATTTTCTTATCAAAATTCACAGTATAATGGACTAAGTATCCGTTTTAAAAATTATTATAATATTTACAAAATTACAAACAAAAAAAATTACCCACCAAACTTGTCAATGATGATGTAGATGAAGATATCAGTGCCACCGGACACATCGAAGTGTTACATGTGTGTACAAGATAGGAATTACTAGGCCTTCTTCGGTAACCTCATCCACATAGCGAAACAGCAAAACACAACGCGTCGTTCTATTCGAAGTTAAAAAAACCAATAGACCACCACAGACGACGCATTGATGTTCAGCCGGGGTTGCAGAGGAAGCGAAGTAAGGCACCGCGGCTTCAGCCTAGAGAAGTTGAACGAACGGGGGAGGGGGATTGTCAGCCTCGACTCGGGGAGGAGAAGCCATTTGATGATGTTTTCTTCACAAAAAAGCATTATTTCACGGCGTTTTTCTGTTAGGCACTCCACCAAAGCCTGCACATTCGTGGTTAAACTAGTAAGAAATACCAATGTTCACAACTAATCCATGGACAATACCTACATATCATGTATTGAAGATATAAACACGCACAGACCTACGCGTTATGTTGGCATGCTAGGCATTTCCGCTGATATCCGGTATAAGTGACGCTTGTCGGATATTTGGAATTGCATATTGACAGTCCAAAAAACTTCTAACTGGTCATATTTTTGTGGTTTTATGACATAACTAGCCGTCTGCGCGTCTGCGTAGCCTTTGACCTATTCCTGAGGGTATCCTATGCCTGTGCCAAATTTCATACAGATCCGTTCAGCCGTTTTGGCGTGATTGAGTAACAAACATCTAAACATCGTAACTTTCGCATTTATAATATAAGTACGATTATGATGATAATATCTTCAACTACTTACGTAGGTTCTCAACATTCTGAGTGTTATTTTTGTCAAAGTAATCTTACAATACAACATTTATTACCGCCTCGGTACTCCAGAGGTCAGGCAAGCGTACCTAACAGAAGATCATTGACGTCATGAGTTTAATCCCAGCAAAATGAGCGAGACGGCACTTTTTTTTAAATCTATCTTTCACCTTAGACTGGTATTTTTCAACTTACAACACCAACTTTCTTTCGATGGTATGTTGATTGGGAATGTCCTGCGACGTCACAATTTAGTAACGTACCGGTAACGTAACGACCTCCCAGTTTTAAACTATTATTCGTTTTACGTCTATTCAAGTATTGCTTTCTTTACGAGAATTTTAAAAAAATATGTCAATATCTTTCACTATCTATGTAAATCTTAACTAAAAATACGGACTAAATAGTTTATTTTTATATGGATTGGACCTTCTTTTTTTTGTCAGGGGAAAATCATCAAATGACTTCTCCCGCCCAGGGTTAGGCGAGAGAGTGTCAGACTCTTACTGACTAAAAACACCCCCGTTCCTTCTCCTGCTCTGAGCCGAGGCCGCGGTGACTCATTGCGCTTAACCCGCAACCCCGGCTGAACATTAGCCCTATAGGGCCCCGTCTGTGGTGGTCCATTGGCTCTTTGAGGCGCGCGCGGAACGCTACGCGCCGTACATCCTTTAGTATCCTCACTCTCGAGGCGAAACAAAGCTGTGGTTGTTTCCGTGGTATCTGTAAATAGAAAATAAGAATATTTTTATCTTTTACATTTTCAGGCACACGGTCTGAAGTCCAATCAGATCTATCGCACGGAACCTGATAAGATAAAACTGCAGCAGCTGAAGAAACTGTTCACAGATAGAGGACCCACTTTCCCGTACCACTGGGATGTACCTGTGGCTTGCGCTATGCTTAAAACTTTTATTAGGTAAGATAAAAGACAGACTATTTTAATTCTAAAATAGATTTAAACTTTATCAAAACAACACATATTAGTTTAGACAGATTCGTTTCATTGTTTTGTTTTTCTTTTTGCGTTTAAACCCATCTTAGTAATTTTTATTGGATGGTGAGCATGGACAAGCGCAACACCAGAGAGGTTGCAAGTGCGTTGCCGCCATTTTGCTGTTGTAAAGAAGTTGAGGATTGGGAGATTCGGTATCAGAGAATAGGAGGGAACGAACTGGGTACTCGGGTAACCCGAAAGAAACACAAAGCAAATATTTTTGGCGCCGGTTTTCTATAACGTCTTTGTGTCACTCCGGTTGAGTTGGCTTACAACTTTGTAAGTGTGGGAGAGAGCTACACTTCAGCGCGAATGGTCTAACTCGATCGGAATATAACCGGTTAGGCTATAAGTACTTTTGAGGTCTTGATTTTGTCTTGCAGCCACGTAATCCTGCTAGATCAATCAAGAATTAGGATAAGGCCTATTATTATTATTCTTTTTGTGGTACACTGGCAAAGTTTGCACGAATAGTCTTGGTGTTAAATTATGTACTTTCGAAATGATTTCTTAAATGTTCAAAATCTTTTTTCTCAGTGAACTCCCGGACTCTATATTAACACAAGAGCTACACGGACAGTTCGAGCAAGCGACGGCCATAGCCGAGCCACAACGGGAGGCTACCATGTTGGCCCTTATAGCTAAGCTACCCCCACACAACTATAGCTTATTGGGATGGCTAATGAGACATTTTGAATGTGTTGTGGCTAATGAACAGGTTGGTTTATCTATTTTTTATGTAACTAACGCCGAAATCGTAGTCATTTTACTTGGTTACTTAACCCAGACCTTGGCTTTCAGAACGAAATCTTAACTTATAAATAGTTTAAGTAATAATTATTTATTGACTGACTAGCAGACCGCCTCTGCTTCGCACGGGTATCCGATTATCCCGGGAGTCAGTCATTTGTTTTGCAAGCGAATGGCCACTTCACCGAAAGGGTTGACTCCCGCTATTCACCTTTACTTTTCTAAAATTTTCTTTCGTAATAACCTTTTCCTAACAATAACGAAAATAAGAAAAAAAGATTCCGCAACATTGGTCCAGGCGTTATTGAGTTATGCGCTTACCAACAAATTTCGCGATCCATTTGTATATTATAGAAGATTTCGGCAGTTACAGTTTTCTTCTTAAAGCAATGTGTTAGTCAAGACTACAAAACAAAATATTGACCACCTAGCAGCACCCAGGAATTTCACGGGTACTGCTTCGATATGAGGTGTTTTAATAACAAGAAATTGATTTGACTTGAAACGCAAACGTCATTTTTACTTACTGGGCAGGCGAGTTGGATATCTTGATTCAAAAGGTTCAGGTTAATCAGAGAGTGTTCATACCAGATCTCTGTTGATTATGTAGTTCCTTAGCAACTCTTTCGCATCCACGTGAGTAGCAAGGATGATGGCAAACATATGCTACTCTGCCGTCACCACATTTGTTATAATCAGTGATTGGAGTAGGTAGATTGATTTTTGATACTTGTATCCTAAATGCACACAAAAAGAATAACATGGATAAGCCATTTTCCCGGAAAGTAATTCCGGTATTGCGGTATTCCGGTATTTAAAGAATAATATTGCTCATTTTATTACAATTCCTACCTTTTTTGAGGATGGCAAATCATTAAATGACTCCTTCCACTCTGGCAGAATAAAATTCTTACATAAGTTCCGGTTTTTTTTTAAATCCGCCAATTCCGGAGGAATGTCCATATTAATATATACGTTTCGGATCAATGACCCCATTTCAATCTACCTACTCCGATCACTGGCTATAACTAAAGTATCAATTCGTTATTTAAAAATAAATGTTTATTTTAATGTCTACTTAAATTACTTTCTTAATTGCAGGCGAATCACGCGAACATCCAAACTATTATGACTGCGATGGGACCAGCGCTCAACATGTCCTTGAACCTCCTCACCTACCTGGTGTCCAAGGCTGAGAAGCTGTTCCCAGACGTTCAGCTTACCAAGTGAGTACTAAAATAAAACTGTTGATCATCATAAAACTTTGCCCGCCCTGAGTGAGGCCTAAGGACCTGTCCAAACACTTACTGACTTAAAAACATCCCATTCTTTCTTCTGCTCTGGACCAAATACGCGGTATATTATAGCGCTTGGACCCGCAACCCCGACTGAAAAGAGATAGTTTGAAATATATATGCTTGTTTGGGGCCTTTATCTATTAATTCTACAATTCGTTATCTTTAAGTATCAGATTTTGGGTGCATTATTATACAGGTATTTTTATACAAAAAATGCCATCCTATAGAATACGTTACAGCCTTCTGCCAAATTTTTGTACATATACCAAGCACTACATTAGATTCCAGAATTAAAGCTACTATTTTATGATTTTGAAACTAGTTAGATGTTGCAGTTTAAAAAGTTTAGGCTTTTTTCTATCAAATCATTCCTTTATAATATTATTAGTACAGATCCAATATGTTTATATCTTCCTGTGTGTCGTCCATTTCATTCAAAGGGATGGGTATTTATGTATTTCACTCAGCCGTCACCACAGAGTAGGTGCATCTGACATTTATTTAGCTTATAGAAGCTAAAAATACAAAAACCTCGTACTCAGTCAAACAGCCATATAAAAACCTACTTGATTTTTCAATCATGGTAATTCGAAACACAACAAAAGAACAATAGGTGCGCGAACGCCGGCGTTCTAATGGGCTTTGATGGGTTAAACATAGCGGACGCGGGCTTTCAACTTAGATAAATTAAACATACACTATTTGAATCTTTCAGATACGTACCACCTTTAGCATCCATTCCACCTGACTTCCCAGAGACGGCTCCTGAACTAAGCTTGGAGCTCCGCAAACAGGAGTCTCTATTGAACCAGATACACGCAGAAATGCACGCTGGGTTCATCACGCCGGCCCGAGATCAACAGCTGTGGGAAGCACAGAGGATCGTCACACAGTTGAAGGTATTATTATATTTTTATAGGTTTTTGCTAGCTACTGCTGCGTAAAGTGTACATGGAACAAATCTTTGTAAGACCTACAAATTGTTGTTTCCTCTCTGAATGTAAATTGTGTGTACATACACACCCACTTAACTTAATCATAGCGATTAGGTCACATTAAAAAAATATATACATAAAAAAACTGCTCAAGTAAAAATCGTCCCTAAATTTAATCATCTCGTAGCAGTTCTATTCCTTAGCAAAATAGCAATATCTATAAGGTGTACTTTTGAAACCTTTCGATTTTATTTCAAAACTTATATAACTAATAACTAAATACTATACTATAATATTCGTCCAGCTATAGAATAAAATAACTATTATTTTTGCTTCATTTGTAATCAGTTGTAAAAAACAGCTGAAACTCACGGTCGTTTAACAATTTTTATTATACCTACTTTACGTATCGCGAAGTTATCTATAGAATCAATGACTAAAGTATTTTGTTGTTGGTATTGTGGTTAGTCATAGTAATTTTACTTCGGTTATATAATAAAATAACAGGTAGATATTCAATTTAATATGATACTGCGACAAAAGAGCTGCCGTATTACTTGATGGTAAGCAATCAGCGCCGCTTACCTATCGACGAACACAATGTCAGTGGAGTTGCTACTGCGTTCCCGGCCTTTTGGGGATTAGGTGTTTTGGGATTTAGGTGGGGAAGGGAAAAGATTCGGCCATTAGAAATCCCACTTATACGGGGAAACAACGCAACGGTTTATTCACGCCAGTTTTCTAAGAGGCTGTAGTTTCACTGCGGTCGAGCCGACCCGTTCGTGCCGAAGCATGATTCTCAAAAAACATTATTGAAACAAAATAAAATCAATGTTAATTTGAGTAAAAAAATTGTAATTACATACGCATGAGTATCACAAAACTGTCGAAGGTTTTAAAAATAATAAAGGTAAGGCAAGGGTCAAGTACATGTTAAATAGATTGACCTTAAAATATTTTATCAGGTTCACAAACATGAAAACGATTCTAGGACATCATGCCCAACAGTTACTACCGCTCCAAACAACGAGATAGAACCTTAAACAGTTAAAATATTCTCACAAAGTGATTACGCTATCAATGAGAAAATGATCAAACTAATTGACGTAATAGATTCTAATTGATTTCCTAACTAAAAACTAGACAAACTCGTTTTTAATCGAAAGTAACGTTAACTAGTGAATCTTAATTCATTTGTGACGCTTCAATGAACAACAATTTAAAGACAAAACGATTTTGGAATTCAAAAAGGTCTTTTTTATTTTAGTGACTGATTTTATGTCAGTTGTCAAACGAGCAGACGGATGGCTTGATGGTAACCAAATCCAGAAAAATAATCGGAAATTTTGTAATTGTGAGGGAAGAGGTGGGACAAAGGATTGGACATCCGGTAACCTCACTTACACGGCGAAACACAACGTTGTGGTTGTTTCACGCCGGTTTTCTGTGAGGCCGTGGTATCACTCCGGTCGAACCGCCTCATTAGTGCCGAAGCTTGGCTTTCCCACACTGAAACTTAATCCTGCCTGGCCTAAAGTTTGAACTCTAGCCCTTTATTAATCCATATATAATTTGTTTTACAGAGAAAGCTGCGATCAGTACAAAAATCGGTAGAACCACAAAACTCATTGCAACCACAACATGCGTCGTTGGATGAGAGACACGAACATAAGACGGAGGATGAACCAGTGAGGCGGAACTCCCAGCCCTCACAGCCATCTGCACCACTACAAATGCAAGTAGAGGCACAGGTCACCCCCCAAGAACCTCCCGAGGTCAAAACTCCAAACGAACCATTCCTAGACCCCAAAGAATCGCCAAGCCAAGAACCCATCTTCGAAGCCGAGTTTGAAGACAATTTCGAATTCAAACCAGAAATTCCAATAAAAGAAACCCCAGAACAAGAATTACCCCCAGCAGAACCCATCAAAGAAAAACCGAAACTAACAGAAAAAGAACTGAAAGTACTAAGACTAGAACTTGAAAACGCAGAATACTTGCAGCTCAAGTCCTTACTGCAAGCGAAAATCAACTCTGAACAGTTCGAAATAGTCAAACTTAGAAGCCATGTTGCTTTGAAGAACAAGGCTGAGGGCGCTCAGACCACGAAAGAAACTAAGGAAAACAACATACAAGACGAGCAGGAGTTAAGACAAAGACTGATCAAAGAGAATGCGTTACTAGAGCAAAAGAGAATCAACCTTATTAACCAGATATTTCAGGAGAGAGTTGCTTGCATACAGTTGAAGATAGAGCTCGCTATGAAAGAAATATTGTCGAAATCGTAAAGCGGTTTGACGTATGTTATTAGTACTAAAACATGGCGTAGAGTGAATCTCACAATCTGTAGTTCCGCCAGTATATGAGGCAGTGAACGTATGATTTGTTAGAACAAAAATGACGAGAAGAAAAGGACGTAGGTAAAAATATACATCTCTTTATCGGAGAATATATCTTTTATGTGATAGATGTTTTAAAAAAGAAATGAAAACGTTCCAGTAGAAGATTTAAGCAATAAATAGCTGTTTCTATATCGTTCTCCTTAAGTAATTTCTCTGAACAATACGCGTAGATATCTATTTGAACCCCAGCCAATCAACATTGTTGTAGAAAAAAGTCAAACCACTAAAACTATGTATTGTAACTCAAAAACGGCTGGACCGATTTGCATGATCTTCAATTTATTGATCGACTTGTAAAGGCTTGGGATAAATAAGAAAAAATCACAAATCTTTGTAAAAACTTATTTCTATTGTGTGTAGATTAACTTATTATATAACGATTCTGAAGCTTAACAAAGTTCGCAGAATAAATATAGAATGAACTGTAAATTTCAAATGTTACACTAAGTTTATTTATAAATACATAATAATATATACGTTAAACATTGCATGATAACTATATTTGACTAATAACTATCCACTTGGTGACATTGACTCAATTTTAGTATTGCAATCTTATCTCTAATACACTATCTTAGACTGCAGTACAATACGACCAATATAACATGACGTTCCAAGAAAGAGGGAGACATAAAATCTTAAAGTAAATAGAGTGAATGAGACAGCAATAGCCTCTAAGAGAGAGAAAACCTCTCAAAACTGGTCAAGTTATTGAATGTACTTTATTCATAATTGTTTACCTAATCAATAAACAATGTTAGTGGAACATGAATGTGCAGTAATAGAGAAAATTATTGTAATAATTCGTTTTAATATTACTTGACATTGGAAATGTCAAATTATTATTAATGACGTCGATAAAAAGATTAAGAATGAACTTCCGTATTCATTAATCAAAATTTATTGATCAAATAAAAATGTTGTACTCAAGAAAATTTGTGTATTTTTCCTTATAATAGTAAAATAAATCATATTTACATAATATTACATTGATATATAGTTATTGCAACCAATTCGAAACGTCAGATAGACTAATGACAAAAATATCACAGTAAGTAGTATTTAGGAAAAATTGGGTTGTTTTCTAGGTCAAAAATAAATTATTTCGACTTTTCAATACAATGAATGATTACTAACTTAGTTTTTTAATTAAAACATTGTGACGCCATATGTTGCGATCTCATACATTATTCATAGTAGTTTTTGACATTGCAATAGAAGTATTCAATTTGACTATTTGAAACTAGGTACCGAATTATAGAAATAGTGTATTCGAAAATTTTCAATAATTAATAATTATGATGAATATCAAATGTAAATGATGACCAATGCCAGCTAACTATGGACATCTGTACCTACAACTTTTACTGTAGCTAGATGTCTTCGCATAATTCGCAGATTACAATTGACGTAGGTACTTGATATTCCAATCTACAATCTTACAATAGAAATCTTAAACTCGTTCACTGATAGACAATTCACGCTTAAACCACTAGAATTTTTTTCCACAAGCAATAATACAGACTCTGCTCTGGTTCACCTGCTGGTGAACCGAGGCTTACTGTCAAATTATATTGTTTTTAGATTTTTAACTTATGGTTTTAAAAAAGAGTCGACAATCTGACAAATTGGCGTGATTTGTCTGCTGGCTAAAGTACAAATGTGGTCACTACGGGAATTAAAAAAAACGATAAAACTCGTCTTTAGATATTGGTTCATATTCCTCTTATTATTTTATAGGTATGTTTGAAAATTATCAAATTATCAATTCTCCTAGCCTGGGGACGACGAGGGAAAATATCAGGCTCTTATTGACAAAAACCACCCCATTCCTTCTGCTGCTCCAAGCTGGAGCCGCGGTACACTATACGTACATAAATAACTACGTGACGTTGCAAACTTATTCTAGAAATTATTGTGTCCGTTACCCAGGCCAGATGTTGTCGACAATGGTCATTTGAATCTTATAGATAATTAGTTGTGCGGCTTCTGTAATTGTTGCGCACATTTTTAAATTTGTTGCGCTTATAGTTTTTTAATTATTTCACAAAAACATTTCCTGCTGGCGTAACGTTACCACAGCCAGACCTTTTTCTTTCTAATGGGAATATTTAAATAAATATTAGCTATAAAATTAGTTGTCTAGATAAAGTAAATGTTGTGCCTTATTTTGTATTTGTTCTTTCTTCGGTTGCGAAGTTATTCGAGATTTTGCTGCGGTAACGTTTTTGGTTTTGCTAGATCTTTGAAATGGTTAAGCGGATTCTTATCATATTTTGTACACGACTTCCGAGGACTTAGTTTAAATTTGTTGTGCAATAACAAAACCAAAATAATGCATATTTTAAAGGTTTTTTCATTAAATAGAAAAACACTTCAATTGGCCCCAGCACTGTCAATAAGAAGTCTAAAGACTTACTTTAAACGTAATTTTACAGCTTGTAACTGCCTTCAAATGTATGTGAAGTTTCATTAGTATCCCGTAAGTATTTAACAAGTTATGATGATATTCAGTTCTTCACGAGCACGGTCTTAATGCACGCGGTGTTATTTGGCCACTGGATTGGATATATGAACTGAATGTTATGTCAATAATTAGTTGTTTAAATCAGTTGTATATCGGTAAAATTTCAGCTCAATACATTGGATAATTAATGAGATAATACTATGAAAGTCATTAGGAAGTGAATGACCGTGGTAAGCCGACCAAGTTTAGGTGGTTACGAAAAAGCGAAAACGCAGAACATTATACTATCTTTTGAAATGTTTAGTATAATACACCTTACAATTTTGGTACAGACGCGTACACTGTTTAATACCTATATAATAATAATATAAAAGAAAACATTATCTTCCAGTTCCACAAAATTATCAAAAATCACCGCTAGAGCATGCCGTTCGGTAGGACGCAGGAGGAGTGGGGTGAAGGGGTAATACATTGTTTGCATAACGCACTCAGTCTTGCCAGAAGGTTACTTTTGTAACCTTTTAGATGATTTTTGAACTGCATTTTGAAATAGAAATGACAAGGACGGGTGATGTTTAATCGGTTGCTAAGCAACACAAGTTTTTATAAGTAAGGGAGTAAAAGTTCAATTGAAATGATTATTTTACCTTTCAATAAAAAATCTTGAATAATCATGTAGTTTTTTTTTAAACTTTTGTACATGTCTGTACTAAATTTATAACACTATCCTACATATTTTAGAAGGTACCATAATGTTCTGCGTTTTCGCTTTTTCGTAACCACCTAAACTTGGTCGGCTTACCACGGTCATTCACTTCCTAATGACTTTCATAGTATTATCTCATTAATTATCCAATGTATTGAGCTGAAATTTTACCGATATACAACTGATTTAAACAACTAATTATTGACATAACATTCAGTTCATATATCCAATCCAGTGGCCAAATAACACCGCGTGCATTAAGACCGTGCTCGTGAAGAACTGAATATCATCATAACTTGTTAAATACTTACGGGATACTAATGAAACTTCACATACATTTGAAGGCAGTTACAAGCTGTAAAATTACGTTTAAAGTAAGTCTTTAGACTTCTTATTGACAGTGCTGGGGCCAATTGAAGTGTTTTTCTATTTAATGAAAAAACCTTTAAAATATGCATTATTTTGGTTTTGTTATTGCACAACAAATTTAAACTAAGTCCTCGGAAGTCGTGTACAAAATATGATAAGAATCCGCTTAACCATTTCAAAGATCTAGCAAAACCAAAAACGTTACCGCAGCAAAATCTCGAATAACTTCGCAACCGAAGAAAGAACAAATACAAAATAAGGCACAACATTTACTTTATCTAGACAACTAATTTTATAGCTAATATTTATTTAAATATTCCCATTAGAAAGAAAAAGGTCTGGCTGTGGTAACGTTACGCCAGCAGGAAATGTTTTTGTGAAATAATTAAAAAACTATAAGCGCAACAAATTTAAAAATGTGCGCAACAATTACAGAAGCCGCACAACTAATTATCTATAAGATTCAAATGACCATTGTCGACAACATCTGGCCTGGGTAACGGACACGAAATTATTGTGTCAATCTTTCATTAAATTATCAAGTTCTAATTGCATAACCATATTACGAGCTTATCAGTCGCATATCAAAATACTATCGCGATATTACTTATCTTAATTACTTATAAATTTCTTGTAAAACGATATTATTATGTGCACTACAAATGTATATAATTTACTATTACTGGTCACTCATGTGACTTCTGTATTTTCCTGTTTTGTCGATCCATGGATGAGGAATACCAATAATGTACCACAGAATCATCAGACATTCTCAGGACATACGACGCATTTATTTGCTCTCTTCTGATTGGACATGATTAGGTACTTACTATATTCTATTTGCTAAATAAGAAAGCCAGCGAGGCAGAACTTTTACCAAACACCACCAAGAAAAAGAAAATAAAAGTCTCATAATTCTATAAGAGTGTACTACAATACCGCCGACGTATCTTGGCGAGTCTGAAGTTGCGGCTTGTTATCCTTTAATTCAAAAACAGCTGGACCAATTTCTTTGTAATTTGGTATGTACCTAAATAGGTTTACCCTGGATTAACACATAGGCTGCTTTTTACCAACATACCAGTCGAACGAAGCTGTGGGAAAATGAGGTACTTACCCGAAAGAGTATACCTACCTAATAACGAATTTTAAGTGTAGGAGAGCCATCCTTCGGCAGCTAAACAATCTGACTTATCCAATTTCTAAATTAAAACAAAGCAAAGTGTGCATAGACGGAGTTGGATGTAGGTAACAAACAGGAAACTATTGAGGTTTACCGCATTACAGTACAAAATATTGCCTGATTATTGTACTAACGTAAATGTACTTGAACAGGCGATAACATGATAATTCGTCAAGCAATATGTAAGTACTTGGACAGCTTTGAAGAGGTAGTATTTAATTTCAACAACTGTTTGACGCCTCATTACATTCTGTAATTGGAAATGATTTTAGTAATACACATACATAGGTTACAAATATACCTACTTCAAAATAACACGCCCTTCCTTTATTTCCCTTCCAGAATGGTACACGTTCAGATCTGAATAGAATTTTTTTACATTATTTTTAGCTAGGTACTACTTTCCGAGTTCCTTGGGTATATAGGTAGGTACGTGTCTGCCTAAAAGTAAGAGAAACATTATAGATATATGCCATAGACAAATTAATTTTGCTTTTCATATGGATTTTAATAACCGACAGACTATACCGTGATTTTGAAGAGATACCAACCCGAACTGGAGCAGAAGCAACGGGAGGTTTTTAGTCAGTATCAGTCTGATACTCGCTTTTGCCTCCCCAAGGAGGGAGAATAAACTCGATTAATTTCGCCACCCAAAAAAAATTGCTCTTCAGTAGTCAGTCACGCCACCAAGAAGGTCTAGTGACAACGTCTTTACATCCATCCAGCACACCGGAGTCGGCACACAGACCTACAATACTAAATCTATGAGTCGGCATAAAAATTTAAAAACTTTCAAACAAAGAAATCATCACGAATTTGCACAATAAAACATGAAGTTTATAATGTTCCACTTATTATGAAGTAACAAGCGTTGTAGTTTTTAGTCACGCGATACTAAATAAAAGATTAAAAAATACAAAATCTCGGTATTCCACGATTTTTGCAATAATTTTTGTGTTTTAGAAGTTGAGTTATCCTTATTCTATTTAGGCAAGTATATGAGGACTCATTCACATGAATAGTTAACTAAACCGATTTTATGTTATAAGTACATTATTTTTTGCACGGATGGATGTGGATGTGAATTAGGTATACGCATGTCGTCTATTTTATTTATTTCTTTAATGAGTCCTTATTTTTAGACTTACACAGATACCTACACTTTAAATGTACTACATATAACTGCTTACAACAAATTATTATCTTTACTAAATTCGCTAATTAGGTTTTACTAGACTGCATCCCGTACCCCTTTAAAGCCTTATAAACGCGGATAAGCACCATTGTTATTCCAGACTATTATCTATTTGTAAAGAAAATTTCATCCGGATCCCCTTAGTAGTTTGGTGTAAAAG